TCAGTACTGAATAGACTTCGACTTACGACCACATTTTGGTGGTATAAGCAAAACATTTGTTCAGTGAGTTTTGCTCCGTTTGAATGAACTTTTCTCGCCAAGGTTATTAAATGAATCAAAGCAGTTGCTAAGTTAGGAACACGGTTGTTAAGTGAATCCGGCTTTCTCTCCCCCCCCACTTGACTTTGCTCATCAGAAGGTCGCAAAAAGGAATCGGGTGACCTCGGGGACACTGCAACCGTCATAAGTATGAGTCAGTGGCCAAGCGTCCAAATTTTGGTCACGTGACCCTCGGGGAGGCTGCAACGGTCGTAAGTGTGAAAAATGGTCATAAATCTGTTCTTTTAATGCTGTTGTAACTTTGAACGGTCACTAAAAGAGCTGTCGTAAGTCGAGGACTACCTGCAGAGAGGAGCAACAGAAGCACCGGAGGTATCTTGCCAAAATTGCATGCTTGACTTTCAGGTTGGCTTTGTGCCATGGTAAGGCACAGGTTGTGTTAAATACAGGTAGTCCTTGACTTACGACAGTTCATTTAGTGACTGAAGTGACAACGACACTGAAAAAAAAGAAACTTACCGCTATTTTTACGACTGTTGCAACCTCTCCATGCTCACGTGATCCAAATTTAGACGCTTGGCCCCTGACTCGTATTTACGACGGTTTGCCGTGTCCTGGGGCCACGGGATCCCCTTTTGCGACCTTCCAACAAGCAAAGTCAACGGGGAAGCCCAAATCACTTAACAACTGGGTTACTAACTTAACTGGAGTGACTCCCTTAACAACGGTGTCAAGGGAGGTCGTAAAATGGGGCAAAACTCGCTTAACCACTATCTCACGACTTAGCAAGAGAAATTCTGGGCTCAGTTGTGGTAGTAAGTCAGGGACTGCCTGTAATGCACCACAACCACACAGCACAGCTCTCTTGAGTAGGTCCTAGCCCATTTTGGGGGCTGCCCGCTGTGCCAAGGCTCGGGTGGGCAGCGTCTTCCTCGAGGGCCGGGTGGCAAAAATACTTGGGGTTTTCTATGAAAGGAAAGCGCTCCAACGTCCTTGCACGACAACGTGGGAGCAGAGGACAAAGCAGGATCACCAGGAGATAAGGATCCTTTCAATGTCACGCTGCTCTTCTCCCGGATCTGTTTGGCTGTTTGACTTTAACCTTGTCCTCGTGCGTCCCAACGGGAGTTTAATGTTTGTAGTAGGGCATGTGGATCTCGCTTGCCGGCCAGCCAAGCGGGCAAGCAGGTAGGGCTCAACTGGGGCTTGAAGCTTTCAGAAAGAACAGACGGCTCAGAAACGGAATTCTTCATGGAAGCAGGAACGGGAGGAGAATTGGGTCAACTGAAGGGGGGGAAGCTGAAATAAATGTTTCTTTTCCCCGTCTTGAGTTCGAGAAGCTTTGGAAAGCTAAGCCCAGTTTAAGCCTTGTTCCAAAGGGAGCAAACTCCTTTCTTTTTAATTTTTTTTATATAAAAGTTTTTTTTTTTAAACAAACACATAAATACATCAATCCTTCCATCTGTCTTCTCGGTGTTTCTTCCATGACTACTACTACTTCTTTTTATGACTCCTCCTATCTTCATTTCTCCTTGATAGTTTCCATTTCTCTGTTGGATATTTCCCCCAAATTACAATACATTTAATATAACATTCTCCTTATTTAATTATCACAATCTTTATCTATTATCTGTTTTTTAACCAATCATAAAATTTCCCCCTTATCTTATATGGGAACAAACTCCTTTTTCAGTGGTAGCTGAAAATAACGGAACATGGCACATATTTAGAGGAAGGATGGATAGATAGATAATAGAAGATACATAGATAGATAATAGATGATAGATAGATAGATAGATAGATAGATAGATAGATAGATAGATAGATAGATAGATAGATGTAACTAATAGATTAGAGAGAGGGATAGTAGATAGATAGATAGATAGATAGATAGATAGATAGATAGATAGATAGATAGATAAGATATGGATGGACGGACAGGCAAATCCTAGATACATACATAGATTATATATACACACATACACAAACACACTAGTGACCAGAGATAGACAGACGCTAACAGATATCTTTATTAATTATTTAATTTCTATAGGCACTCAACTACTAAGTGATAGATAGATAGGTAGATAGACAGATGCTAATGATAGATAAACAGATATCTTTATTAATATTTATTTCTAGAGGCACCCGACACAGTAGATAGATGGAGAGAAAGAAAAGGGGAGGGAAGGATACATAGATAGATACATGGATACAGAGGTGGCATTCAGCCGGTTCAGAAATCGTGATGGGGCCCGCTCATCTGCCCCGGCTCTACGCTGTCCTATTTAGGCTCGTTTTTGAGGCTGGGCGCATATGCAGAAGATTTCCAGCTCTGTCTCCCTAACCCTAACCAGAGGAAATGGTGGGGACCATCTGCGCATACGTTTAAATATTTTGGGGGGGGGGCTTATTTTAGCACATGCACTCAAAAGCCCAACTGGGCTTATTATTATCAGGGGATGTTTTATTTTCAGGGGAAAAGGGTATGTGTGTGTGTATATATATAATTTTATATTTGCTGATAAAGAAATAAAGGGAGATTAGTATAGATCTATTTCAAACTATTTAGCTCTCATCAGTTGGCCATACCCTGACTTGGGTTCGAACCCGAGTAAGGGTATGGCCAACTGATGAGAGCTAAATAGCTTGAAATAGATCTATACTAATCTCCCTTTATTTCTTTATCAGCAAATATAAAATTTGGTATAAAATGGTTTGTCGTGAATGTGACTGCTTGAGGGCTCCTGGATTGGAAAGGCGAAAGGGAAGCAGGAGGCTCCCTCCCATATTGGGGTAGACCAGGTGTCTCAATAGAAAAACTTTCTATCTATCTATCTATCTATCTATCTATCTATCTATCTATCTATCTATCTATCTATAGGGAGAGAGAGAGAGAGGTATTGATACAGATTTCTATAGAGAGGCTGAATTCTTTGCAGTTTGCTGGATGCTGATAAATGCAGCGTTTGGCCAAGGTAGCCCAGTAGCCCCAGGCTCGCTACTCCTCATATCACTAAAGCCCCAACTGGAGCCTTCTCCAAAACCTTTGGAGCCGAAGCGGCCTTAGGAGCCCCTGCCAGGGCGAAGCCGGTTGATGCAAGGGGAACTCAAGCCTGCTCTTTTCCATGAGTCACTTCTCCGAGATGTTTGTCCTTCCAACGGGAGGAGGAGAAGCGCAGGAACTGTTTAAAAATGAATGGCCGCACAGTTCTCCCCAAGGCCTGGAGCGAGGAACTGACTGGACGTTTCCGTTCCAGAAATGGGCCCACGGGGAGGCCTCAGCGGCCTTGGAGGAGCCGCGGATCGAAGCCCAGGCAGGATGGAGCCACTTAGCCAGTTTTCGGGGCCACGTGGACTTCAGCTGATCAATTGGCCCTTTGGTTTATGATGTCAAGAAGAGAGTAAAAAGTCCTCCTCGGCTAACGACCACAGTTGAGCCCAACAGTTCTGTCACTGAGCAAGACGGCATGGCCGGCTGGCGAATTCTGGGAGTTGGAGTTCCACCCATGTTCAAGTTGTCAAGTTTGGAGAGCCCCAATTTAGATCATAGTTTGTTGTTTCTTCAGTGCGGGTCTCCAAAGCTGCCTTTGGGAAGTGAGCCAGCAGTAGCAGGCAACCCTCCTGCTGAAGCTTCGTCCGCCCGATTGTGCAACCCCAGAACTGTAGATTTGGAGGGGTTCCCCAAAGGTCATCTAATCCAGACCTTCTGGTTTCGGGAATCCCTGCTTTCTTTCCTTTCCCTCTCCCTCCCCCCCCCTTTATAGCATCCTTTCTCTCTTTCCCCCCTTCGCATCTCGCAAGCAACTCCTTCTCCGTGACTCATCTCATCCGACGTTTTCATCTGCCCTTTGCTGCTGGCATTTTTATTATTATTTTTTTACAGTAAAAGGCGTGACGGCTCGAAAATTGGGCACGAGGAACGGCTGATGTTTTTCCTAGGAATGCCTAAACTGGGATTGCATCTAAGGGGGGAAGGGAAGGTGGCCAGAAGCGGTTCTGAGACCTTAGCCCCCCAACCGTTCGCGGCCCCAGTAAGGACCGAGAGTCCTTGACTTTCGACTTTTTATTTAGAGACTGTTCAAAGTTACGAGGGCCCTGGGAAAAGTGATTTATGACCATTTATTCACTCTTACAACAGCATCCCCATGGTCATATGATCAAAATTTGGAGCTTGACAACTGGCATGTACTTTTTTAGAATAGAATAGAACAGAATTCCTTATTGGCCAAGTGTGATTGGACACACAAGGAATTTGTCTTGGTGCATTCGCTCTCAGTGTACATAAAAGAAAAGATACACTCATCAAGAATCATAAGGTACAAGGCTTAATGACAGTCATAGTCTCGTGAGTCTGAAATCCGTAGTGAGTCACAGAGAATAATAAAAAATAAAGAAATCATTAGAGAGCAGTGCCATCTTGGATCAATACTTATGACAGTTGCAGCATCCTGGTGTCGTATGATTGACATTTTTGTGATCTTCCCAGCCGGGAACTTTCCCAGCCTTCTGACAAGCAAAATCCATGGGAAAGCCAGCAGGGAAGATCGCAACTCACAATCCCATGAGGTCTCGCTTAATGACTAGGGAGATTCCCTTAACGCCCATAGCAAAAAAAAAAGCTCGTTAAATCGGGAGCGGTTATGCCACGCCTCGCTTCCCGATTGCCCCGCTCAATGACCACTTGTCCACTTGTCTAATCGTGGCCGTAAGTTGAAGAGCGCCGGTATTTTCCAAAACGTTGAATTGCTCCTTGATGGTAAGGAATTCTGTTGCTGAGTTTGCATCTCGTGTAGCCTCCAAGCTCAGGCAGAGTTTGAGGCCGTTGCAACCCGCAGCTCTTTACACATCGTTCTGGAATCTGTAACAAAAACCCAAAGATTAACCGTTTTGTTTTCTTTCTTTCTTCCTCTCTCCTGCTCTGCTCCGTCGGGGTGAAGGCCACCAAGCAGTTCCTGGAAGAGATCAACAAATGGACCATTCAGTACAATGTCTCCCCTCTTTCCTGGAACATGGCCGTCAAGTTCCTCATGGCCAGGAAATTCGACGTCCTCCGAGCGATTGAACTCTTCCACTCCTACAGGGTTAGTGCTTCCGCAATGCAGGGGTTTCTCTGGGTGGGTGGGTGGGCTCGGTGACTTCCATGGGTGGATTAGACCCATGAATGGCCTCTTTCCAAGATGGCTTAAACCCCTTTGCGGAGCTGTAACCGTTTCCCAGAATGGTTGCTGGAATTGGGTACATCTACTTTAAGGACTAGAAGTGACATGATAGCAGTGTTACACTATTTGAGGGGCTGCCACAAAGAAGAGGGTGGGGGGGGGGTTGTCCACCTACTCTCCAAAGCACCTGAAAGCAGGACAAGAAACAATGGATGGAAATTAATCCAGGAGAGAAGCAACCTAGAATTTAAGATTGTTGTTAGTTGCAAAGTCATGTCCGACCCATCGCAACCCCATGGACAACGTTCCTCCAAGCCTTCCTGTCCTCTACCATCCTCTGGAGTCCATTTAAGCTCACGCTGACTTTTTCAGGGACTCCATCCAGCCACCTCGTTCTCTGTCGTCCCTTTCTTCTTTTGCCCTCCATCTTTCCCAGCATTAGGCTCTTCTCTAGGGAGTCCTTCCTTCTCATTAGGTGGCCAAAGGAGCAGTCAGGGTTGATCTCCTCTAGGACTGACCGGTTGGATCGCCTTGCAGTCCAAGGGGCTCGCAGGAGTCTTCTCCAGCACCAGAGTTCAAAGGCCTCCATTCTTTGGCGCTCAGCCTTCCTTACAGTCCAACTTTCATTAAGGAGAAACTTCTTAACAGTGAGGACAATAAACCAGTGGAACAGCTTGCCACCAGAAGATGCGGGTGCTTCTATCACTGGAGGTTTTTAAAAAGAAATTGGACAGCCACTTGTCTGAAACGAACTAGCTTGAGCAGGGGGTTAGACTAGTAGACCTCCAAGGTCCCTCCCTGCTCTATTCTGATTGACTGATTGATCTTCTTCCCACCCCTTTAGGAAACGAGGTTCAAGGAAGGAATCGTGAAGCTCAAACCTCACGAGGAGCCGTTGAGGTCAGAACTCCTGAGTGGAAAATTCACCATCCTGGTAAGTTTTGCTTCCGGGGAATTCTCAAGGGATGAAGCCAGAACGCTGGAAAAAACTGCAGAAAAAATTGAGGGGGTGGGAGAAATACCCCTCAAAGCCTTGATAGGGGCATTCAAATAAGAATGGTGATGGTCTGAATGAGCTATGGGTAATCTTCAGCTTACGACCGTCGTTGGGATGTGGTTTTTAAGCAAGTCATCGCTTAACAACCATCGTCATGGTTGTTAAGCGACTCGTCGGCTGGGAAAGTTGCAGAGGGCGATTCCCCTCTCCCCCCCCCCTCGTGGCCCCAGGATGCTGCAACCGTCATAAATGCGAGACCGGTTGCCAAACGTCTGAATTTTGATCGCATTTGTAAGTGCGACAACTTGGTCACGAGTCACTTTTTTTTTCCTCTTGGTTTTTATATTTTGAATTTTATGTCTTAGAGGAGTGTGTCTTATTTTAATTTGCGATGCTTTTGGCACGAATATGAGCTTTGGGGGAAGATAACAAAAATTGGCCTGAAGATGCTGCTGCATTTCGGTAAATGATTAACAACATTCTCCTCCTCGTCCTTTTAGTTCTGGTGTGTGTGTGTGTGTGTCATTTAGGGAGGGAGGGGCTCACAAAGGTCATAATGCAGCCTTCCCTACAGTCACTTCATGAGAAATGTCTGGCAAGTTAACAAGCGAGGAATTATGGAAGGAAATAACTCACCCTGACAATGCATTCCTGGCCATTAGTATTCAGAGGCGGACTGCCCCTGCAGCTGGAGGCTCCATCGCGGGAGTCAGAGTCAACGATGCTCCTCCTCCAGGAATTGCTATTCTCTTCTAAAAGCATCTAAACCAACTCCCTTCAGCATATCTTGGCAACCGTGTGTGATGTACAATCCATGCATTCTCTCCCTCCCTCCCGTCTCTTGTTAATTTATTCACAATTGGAGACCCCAAATTCTAGGCCTACAGCTTCCAAATCAGAGCCAACCTAACTAATTTCGTTTCCAGCCTGGCGAATGCGATATATCATTTTATTATTTCCCTATCAGGTTTCTATACCTGATAAAATAACTTGTGTGCCCCTGGGTGGCTTACAAATAAATCAATAAAATTGTAGGGAATACGTTGCTGAAAGCAAAGTGGGGAAAAAAACCACCCCAGAATTAAAACAGAATTAAACAGAATAGGCCCGATCCTTTATCTTCCCCTCTAACCCTTTCACGACAACCCTGTAAGGTCGCCCATCAACAGAGAAGGACCCAAAGCCCACCATTTCCCCATAAGAGCGCTACGGGTAAGAGGAATTTCATCCTGAACTTTTCTTGTTTCTTTACTTAAACTTGAACAGGGGTCTCCAACCTTGGCAACTTTAAGACTTGTGGACTTCAACTCCCAGAGTCCACAAGTCTTAAAGTTGCCAAGGTTGGAGACCCCTGATCTAGGATACAGGTGGGAATCAAAGCCCACAGCAACAGCCATGAACGTTTCCAAAAGATATATGCTGCCGAATCACCCGGTCTCTACTGCCCTTTGCCACGGACAAACCCCAGTTTCTTGACTGCTTGCCAATGATCACCATTCTCCGTGGTTTAGCAGAGGTTCATTTAAACCCTGTTTGCCCCCCCCCCAACTGCTGATATTCTTCCACCTGCTTTCTTCGCAGAGTGTGAGGGATCCGTCCGGAGCCTCCATTGCTCTCTTCACCGCTAAGTTGCACCATCCCAATAAAAGTGTCCAACATGTGGTACTCCAGGCCCTCTTCTACCTCCTGGACAGGGCAGTGGAAAGGTAAGGAGGGCTGTTTGCAATCTAACGGGGCACCTGGTTTTGGCTTCGAGAGCCTGGAGAGATGGATAGCAATAGCTTAGATACCGCTTCACAGTGCTTTTACAGCCCCTCTCTAAGCGGTTTACAGAGTCAGCCTCTTGCCCCCAACAATCTGGGTCCTCATTTTATCGACCTCGGAAGGATGGAAGGATGAGTCAACCTTGAGCCAGTCAGGATCGAACTCCTGGCTGTGGGCAGAGTTAGCCTGCAATACTGCATTCTAACCACTGGGGAGGGGAAGGGAAGGGAGGGAAGGAAGGAAGGAAGGAAGGAAGGAAGGAAGGAAGGAAGGAAGGAAGGAAGGAAGGAAGGAAAAAAAATAGCAATAGCACTTAGACTTATATACCATTTTATAGTGCTTTTACAGTCCTCTCTAAAAGGTTTACAGTGCCAGCCTCTTGCCCCCAACAATCTGGGTCCTCATTTTACCCACCTCGGAGGGAGGGAAGGCTGAGTCAACCTTAATGATGCTACGTTAAGCTCTGGTACACGTTTATATTTTTAGACAGCCATGAGTTTTTCTCCAAAAACCCTCCCTTCGCCATTCGGTTAATTTTTAAACAATGTTTTTACCATCCTTGCCTCTTTTGTTTAAATTTTTAACTATTTTAACTAAGTGCTATTGCTATTGCTATCGTCCATGTCTCCAAACTTGTATTTATGAATCTCAAATCCTGCAATTTAATTTAATTTAATTTAATTTAATTTATGAAATTTATACTGCTGCCTATTTACACATGGCGACTCAAGGCGGCTTACAGAAATACATGGAACAGATTTGGGGGATCACGGTTTAGTTTAGCCGAGCCTTCGAATTAGGCTGGGTTTTTGGGTACGAGCCTCAGCTCCCTGTCTGAATCCTGGTGGAAGTGAGAAGTGTGACCCCTGCAACTTTGCGTGTGGCTGTAAATTGTGATTTTCCTTCCAATCACCAGCTTTGAAACTCAGCGGAATGGCCTGGTGTTTATCTACGACATGGCGGACTCTCACTATTCCAACTTTGAGCTGGATCTCAGCAAAAAGATCTTAAACTTGTTGAAGGTAATGAGAAAGTCGCCGTTACCCAAACTGACCTCACTTAGACTCCCCTGGGACCGCAATCCCCAAACTGAAGTTCTGCTAAGAAAACTTCAGATGTTTGGCTTCTCTTCTCAGGCATTGTCCAACTTCATCAAGGTCAACAGCTCGGTTGCTTTGATCTTTCTTGGGTTTATTTTTTTAACTGGTGTTCCAGAGCATTGAGGATAGAAGCCTGTTAAGCGGTTCCATCTGCTTTTTGTAAAGGGCAAACAATCTCTGTCCCAACAGATACTTCCCCAAAAAATGTTTCCCCAGATGGAAATGTTTGGTAGTCCATGGAAACTGTGTTGGGTCATACCTAGGAATTCGATTAGAAGCATGACGTGGTAGCCTTGATGGGCGTTGAATCCTTTGCAGTTCTTTTATGTGTTTATGGAGAGCAACCATGAAGGTTCTTGAAGGCCTTCTCAAAAAAGGTCTTGGTAAAGGGGAATATTAGTAGTTCAGGGTTTAAATGAGAAGCCCTTGGTGCTTTCTGAGCTTGGTGGGTTCCTTGCGGACCCAAACTAGATAACTTCATCATTGCTAAGGCATCATCAGATTTGCAGTGTTGTTACCTAGTTTGGGTCTTGAAACATCTGCAAGAAAAGCACCAAGCTCAGAGAGCACCAAGGACCCACCATCTAAGTCTAGAAGGAAGTCACTAACGGTTGCCCCGTTGTCTTCTTCTTGAAGACCTTCCAACAAGGAGAAGATAAACACTCCTTTGGAACTCCTTGAGAACTTCTTTTCTCACTGTCAAGAAGCTGGATGCTTTAACTCTCAACATTTGACCCATATTCATCCACCTGTAATTTCATCCTGTTTACTTCTACTCAACGGATATTCTTTAGGCTTCAATCCAACAACCACTTTTGAAGGTATCTGCCACGTTCTGTTGTCACCTTGGAAGTATAGTCCATCTTCTCATATTTCTAAAGCAGAGACGTATACGTGGAAAACAGCAGATTGTGCGATTTCAAAGTTCACCGACTCCACTTATTTGCCATTGTCGTTTAGGTCAGGCAGGTAGTCCTCAAGTTAAGACCACTCATTCGACACTGCCTCGAAGTTATGACGGTGCTGAAAAAAGCGACTTACCTTTTGTCCTCAAAGTTATGACCGTTGGACCAAACCCGCAGTCGCATGATCGCGATTCCAGTGCTTGGTAGCCAACTCATGTTGACGACGGTCGTGGCATCCCGCGGTCCCAATTTGTGGCCTTCCCGCCAGCTTCCCAAGAAGCGGAGTCAGCAGGGAGGGCCTCAAATCGAGCAATCGTGTGATGTCTCACTTAACAAACCAAACCAGCAGCAAAAGTGTCGTAAAATCCGGCAGGGTCGCGTGATGTCTCACTTAGTGACAAATGTTCTGGTCCCAGATGTGGTCGTAAGTCGAGGACTACCTGAACTTTGAAGATGGTAATGGCCTGGGTGTTCACCAGGCTAAAGGGGATGTTTTTGGCTTTCTACCCACTCAAAACATCTCTACCCCGAGATGTCGCCCAAGCCTTTGGTGGCCCTCCCTGACCCCAGGCCTTCCATGGAAGCCAGATTTTTATTTTCAGCCAGTTTATCCGGCGTAACGAAAACCTTTTAATTGCCCAACACAAGGCCATTTCATTAATGAATCAAATATAAACCACGGAGCCTTTTAATCCAGCCGGCTCTGACCTCTGACGTGTTGAACGCTGGAGAACGTCTCCTGCTCATCATCAGCCTGTGGTCTCCTGAAGCCACAGATGAAGCATTCAGGGTCATTTCCCAGAAAAAAGTTAGAAACAGCCCTTTTCCTGTATTAAAGTGCCCCTTTTTGGAGGGAAAAAATGTCAGCCAAGCGCAAATATTTGAGATCCTCAAATGTGGTCATCTGGTTAAAGTCCTCAGCCTGTCAGTTGGCCCAGAGCATGGAGAACTTCTCGTGAAGGGCCATCACAAGGGAACTGACTCTCCTAACTTGAGGTTAGAAGAATGAGATCTGGGATTCCTCTGGCCCCAGCGAATCTCAACCGTGTTTATCTGTGGGGTTAGCCTAGAGCCGTGATGGCGAACCTATGGCACGCGTGCCACAGGTGGCACGTGGAGCCATATCTGTGGCACGCGAGCATTGCCCTAGCTTAGCTCCAGCGCGCATGTGCGCACCAGCCACCTGATTTTCAGGCCTTCCGGGTCCACCGGAAGTCGGGAAACTGGCTGTTTCCGGCCTCCAGACGGTCTCGGGCGGGTGGGGAAGGCTGTTTTAATCCTCCCCAGGCTCCAAGAAAGCCTCGGGAGCCTCGGGAGGGTGAAAAACGGGCCTACTGGGCCCATTGTGCCATCGTGTGCCAAAAGCGGGAGGGAGTGCAGGAGGGGGGATTCGTGCGTGTATGCACGGGGGGGGGGTCGGGCACGTTGAATTATGGGGGTGGACACACATACGCATGACCCCCCTCTAAGCTCCTCCCGCTTTTGGCACGCGATGGCAAAAAGGTTAGCCATCACTAGTCTAGAGTCTTTCCCTGGCCCAGAATTATCCTTGAGCTCCAACTCTTTCTTCTTTTTAATTTCATTTAAAGCAACAGTATGTTTCCAAAAAAAAAAAAAAAGATAATACCTATAAATGGCAGGTACTTATTAAAGTTATACCATTAATGCTTGGTATAACCTCAGTAGGAGAGTCATAGTAAAATACAAAAAAGAAATATTTATTTAGCGTATGGCACATCCCATTTGGGTAAAAACGCAAGAGATAAAAAATAAAAAATATCGCATCTAAAATATCATAAACGTATGTCTAGATTACAGACATAAGTGTTTGTTTTATTTTCTCACAGTCAGAAAATCAGCAAAGTCTCCATTATAGGCTCTTATTTTGGCACGCTGTTCACTCTAGCGTGTTTTTCAGCCCCACCGTCACAATTCGGTGATGATTATTTTGTCCTGCTTAGAGAAATAAAAGAAATATACATTTCCTGATATTAAAAAAAAAAAAGGAATTATACATTTTGAACTGGATGCCAAGAACTCCACAATGATGTCATTTGTGGCCATGAAACGCAACTAGCTACTCTCCCAAAGTTCGGATCTTACAGCGTTCATTCCACACTATTCCAAGTAGAATTTTTTTTCAGCTTAATGCCAAAATTCCCACGATGTTATTATTTGGGGTTATGAAAAGTAACCTCTCCTATGCCCCTCTTAGCCAGAATTTACTTAGATCTGCATTTTGAAACCAGATGGACCGTTACAGATAAACATTTTACTTCCTGTAGTCTTGTGGTTCTCAGTTCTTTTTTTCTTAATCCTTACAAGGGACTGCTAGAGTTGGGAAAAGGATTAGATTTCCATGGGAGGGGGGGAAAAAAAGGCCTAGATCTCCCAAAGCACATCCCATTGAAAGCTATGAGAGTAGCAATGAAAAGCATTAGTTTGGTGTAGTGGTTAAGGCAGAGGTCTTCAAACTTGGCAGCTTAAACACTTGTGGACTTCAACTACCAGAATTCTCCAGCCAGCTATAGTAGGTAAGTAGGTAGGTAGGTAGGTAGGTAGGTAGATAGATAGATAAAAAGAGGGGAAAGAGAAAAAGAAAGAAAAAGAAAGAAAGAAAGAAAGAAAGAAAGAAAGAAAGAAAGAAAGAAAGAGAAAGAAAGAAAGAAAGAAAGAAAGAAAGAAAGAAAGAAAGAAAGAAAGAAAAAGATTCATGGATGGTTGATTGATTGATGGCACAAAATAATCCAATTTGATTTGTGGCACAAAATAATGCAATGTAATTGGATACTTTGCTTATATTCATGTACCGTCATAACATTGCTTGAAATTATTAGGACATCAAGATCTTTCATCGCAGGGTTTTATTATTATTATTATTGTTAACTGGTGGTTTTTGAAGACAGCCAATGACGACTGCTGTGCTCCTCAGTAGGATCTGCAGCCATTCTTGGTCTCCCACCCAAACTTCCTCTAACATCCCTGATCCTACAGAAACATGGATGTATGTTCTATAAATCCATCTTCTAAATTTACTTTCTGAATTTCTGCTCTTTTCAATGCACTTGGGTCTCCCCCTACTGGCCAGAGGGAGGAAATACAGGGAAAAATCCCCTTTTAAACTCAGTTCCCACGAGTCTGGGATCTCCTGGTGGCCTCTTATCCTCTCGCCCAACCCTGTTCAGCCAGGTGCTCCTTATCTGCTCAGGTAAATAACTGTGGTACTACTGAGGATGTCGTTGCTCGGCTGTGTTGAGTGGGGATGATGAGAGCTGTAGTTGTGTAATTCAGCACAGACCATAGTTGTGAATGACATATAGTAACAGAGTTGGAAGGGACTTTGGAGGTCATTTAGTCCAACCCCCTGCTCACGCAGGAGACCTGTACTAGGGATTTGAACCGCCGAACTGCCAACCTTTCTGATCGACAAGCTCAGTGTCTGAGCCACCTAGTCACACACAGGATACAAGAACAGTTAAAGGAGGGAAGAAAGAGAAGAAAAATGCAAGGAATATCAAAAGGAAGTTCCTTCCCTACTAATAATTGATCTTCGACCCATTGATTAATACAGATTTCCAATAAGTACCAAATCTCCCTTATTCCACATTCAAAATTTGGGTTTCTCTTGACAACAGTTTTTAATAGTCTAATCTTCAATTATCCATTTGGTGAGGATTGATGTTTCCCCCTGCAGTTCTGCTTCTCATCCTACGATTTATCCTGCGCTGATTATTGCTTTGCCCTCTTGCCTGAAAGTCAATAATCTGTAGTTTTTAAAACAATATAATACTTCTACAGCAATGATAAATATAAAATGTGCTACCGTACCTAATCCTACGAGGCTTGAAAAATTCCCTGCGTTTTATTTTTCTGGCCTTTCTTCCTTGTCTGTTTTCCTTTTTTTTTTCAAAAATGCTGATTTTTTAAAAAACAAAATAGAATATTTTTTTAAATATCTCCTTGGCTTACAGGGAGCCTTTCCAGCGCGCCTGAAAAAGGTCTTCATCGTAGGAGCCCCGATGTGGTTTCGAGTTCCTTATTCCATCATCAGCTTGTTGCTTAAAGAGAAATTACGAGAAAGGGTGAGTTGCACCAGAAGAGATCTCAGGAGGCTTCAGCATGCTAAAAGGGTGAACCAGCCACGTTCACATGCCCAGTTGAGAAATTTAGGCTGAGTCAGTGAAAACAGAGAATGTGCTATGCTAGGAGTAGTAGTAGTAGTAGTAGTTGTTGTTATTATTCATATTTCTATGCCGCCCACTCTCCGAGGACTCTGGGCGGCTTACAACAATTGACAGTCTACTAAATAGCATATTGCCCCCAAAAATCTGGGTCCTCATTTTACCCACCTCGGAAGGATGGAAGGCTGAGTCAACCTTGAGCCGGTGAGATTTGATCCGCTGATCTGCTGAACTAGCAGTCAGCTGAAGTAGCTGCAGTACTGCACCCTAACCACTGCGCCACCTCGGCTCTTTTGGGGAAATTGGTACTAAAATGGCAGATGAGAGCCAGATTGGTATAGTGATTCAGGTGCTGGCTTAGAAATAGGAGGCTGTGAGTTTCCTGCTTTAGGCATGAAAGCCAGCTGGGTGATTTTAGACCAATTACCAGGAGACGGTGAGTTCTAGTCCCGCTTTAGACATGGAAGCCTGCTGGGTGACTTTGGGCCAAACACCAGGAGATGGGGAGTTCTAGTCCCACCTTAGGCATGAAAGCTGTCTGGGTGACTTTGGGCCAGTCCCTCTCTCTCAGCCCAACCCACCTCACAGGATGGTTATTGTGGGGGGAAATAGTAACAGTATGGAATCTTCACGACCTTGAATTATTTATAAAGTAATAAAAGCAGGATTTAAAAAAAAATCTAATCAATCAGGAATTCAGTGCAAGCCAACCTAAATAGATGCACTTTCAATACGGGGAATCTTCATTCCTAAAAACAAAAAGCCGGGCATAAAAGTTTGTGAGGCTATTTTGCTCAGCACTCCAATGTGCCCCTCCCTCTTTTTTTAGGTCCAGATGGTGAAAATGTCAGAGCTCAGGCAGCACCTGCCCCACGAGTGCCTCCCCGAGTACTTGGGAGGGTCTCTCAAGCTGGACCCCCTCAGCTGGAACTGCAGGTTCCTCCCGCAGCAAAACGGGCACCCGGATCCCCTGGACGAGCTGATCCTGGTCCCTCTGGCTCCCCCGCGGGACAACGGTTCCGTGCACGTCCCCGGGCCCAAGTCCATGACCCTGCCGGAACTCCTGGAGCACGTCAACCAGAAGCAGAAGCGAGGAATTTATGAGGAATACGAAGGCATTCGGCACCGAAGCCCTACGGGCACTTTTGGCTGTTCTCTGTAAGCATCCGGATGGCGGGAGAGTCTGAGGTTGGAGAATAACAAGAGTTGGGAGGGACCTTGGAGGTCTTCTAGTCCAACCCCATGCGCAAGCAAGAGACCCTGTACCATTTCAGACAAATGGTTGCCTAGCCTCTTCTTCAAAGCCTCCAGTGATGGAGCACCTAGAGTTCTCGACCTACAACCATTTGGTCGGTGACCAGTTATGATGGCGCTGAGCCAATGGTGGTAAGGCTAATCTCTGAAATTGCAACCCTCCCAACACCCCAAAGGTCACATTATCATCATCTAAGTCAGTGTTGTTGAACCTTTTCGGCACCGAGTACTGAAATGAGTGCGCGCATGCAGGGGAGCATCAGAAACTGGAAGAGCAGCTCCCCAGGGCTCATTCGCTGGAGCACCAGAAACCGAAGAGCAGCTCTCTGGTGCGCATGTGCAGGAGTGCTGGAAACCGGAAGAGCAGCTCCCTGGCACGCATGTGTGCGCCGGGAAGCTGAACTTCCAGTTTCTGGTGTGCGCATGTGCGCTGATCACCTGGTCCTCTGATTTCCGGCACTCTTGCGCTTGCGAAGACCAGCTGCGTGCTGGAACCCAGAAGAGCAATGGTCGATGGCTGGCATATCCAGAGAGATGGCTCTGTGTCCCACTTCTGGCACAGGTGCCGTAGGTTTGCCATCATGGACCTATAACTTCTGGAGGCAAATCCTTCCACTGATTAATTGTTCTCTCTGTCAGGAAGTTTCTCCTTAGTTCTAGGTTGCTTCTCTCCTTGATGAGTTTCCACCCGTTGCTTCTTGTCCTGCTTTCAGGGGCTTTGGAGAATAGCTTGACTCCCTCTTCTTTGGGGCAGCCCCTGAGATATCGGAACACTGCTATCATGTCACCCTAGCCCTCCTCTTTATTAGCCTTGACATCAGGGGTGAAATGCTACCGGTTCGCACAGGTTCGGGAGAACCGGTAGTAGTAAAAGCTACCAGTTCGGGCAAACCAGTAGTAAAAAAATGCTACCGGTTGGTCCGAGCCGGTATTTCCAACGATCAGCTATGCTGCATGATTTATATTCACTAAAAAGCAGGAAATCCTGCTTTCTAGCGAATCTAAATCGCACGGCACAGCTGTTTCCCTCCCCGCTCGTTGTTCTACTTGAGCCTTTTTCCACATGCAGCGTGCGTTTGGTGCACGCTGCGTAAGCACAGTGCACATTTGGCACGCAGCACAGGTGTGGCATGCACTGCACATGCGCGCGCGGCAAACTGGTGGCAAACTGGTGGAGGATTTCATCACTGCTTGACATACCCAATTCCTGCAACCGTTCTGGTGGGCAGGAGGGACCCCATCGGAAGCCCCATCTAAGAACCAAACTTGGAGGGAGGAGGAATTGTCCCTCACCCCATGAAGTTCCATTGTTCTCCATTTATCACTGCGTTGGTCAATCTTGGCGACTTGAAGACGGATGGACTTCATTATCTTGCATACGATAGGAGTCCGATTCTTGTTGCCCTTTTTAAAAGAAATGGAAAGAACGGTTTGCTTCTTTGCTAGCAGCCTCCCATTGCTTGCTGGGAGACATTCCTGGTGCTTCCCTTGTTTCATGTTTCTGCCTTTCTCCTTCCCAGGGCTCCTTTGAACCAGGAGAAAAACCGATACGGGGACGTTCCCTGCCTTGATCAAACCAGGGTGAAGTTGTCCAAACAGTTCAACTATCAGGAGGTAAGCGAAGCCGATAGCATTTCAGGGAATCGGACCCCTCAAATCACAGCAAAGAATTCAATCTCTAGCTGCAGAATTGAAGCAGGTTTGAAACAGACCTTTGTGGTGGTGGTACAAACAGCCAGGGGTGTTTTGGGGGGGGGAGAAATTGGAGGAGGGGGCATTCATACACTGCCTAGGGGAAAAGTGGGCTACACTTCAACTGAATACCCCGTTTCTTCGAAAATAAGACCCTGTCTTATATTTTTTGAACCCCAAAATAAGCGCTTGGCCTTATTTTCGGGGAGGGCTTATTATTTTGGGGTGCATGGAGCAAGACGGGGATCCTCATGCCGTCTGATCTGATTTCCAGCTCTGTCTCCCTAACCCTAACAGATTTCTCTCTTAGTGACCTGCCCGGAAAGCGTCACAAGGAAGGTTAAAGTTGCAAGCAAGGATTTCTCCTGTTTGGGCAGGGGGTTGGACTAGATGACCTACAAGGTCCCTTCCAACTCAGTTAACCTGTTAAACCCTAACCAGAGGAAATGGCAGGGACCGGCTGCACATGCATTCAAATATTTACAGGGAGGGCTTATTTTCGGGGAGGGCTTTTTATCCGGGGGAGGGCTTATTTTCGGGGAAACACAGTACATTGTAATTGAAAGGTGTTTGGGACAAAAGGAAATCCCTTCAGTTCAATTAAGACTATACCATATTAGCAGATTTAAAACTTCCAGTTATGACAGAGGATCAAAAGAGCTCTCTCTCTCTCTCTCTCTCCATATTTTCTGCTCCACTGTTCTCACCCCTATGCTAAAGGAGACATCAACTTTAAACACGCAAGGAAGTTGCCAAATATTACATATATTGTTCTGCGCGAGTAATTTAGTGGAATGGGGGTACGCTCTTCATGTTTTAAAGTTCAATTACAGAACATCATGGGGTTGTGCAGATAAAATGTAAAATTCTGTTCCACAGTTTTCCTGCCTGGAGAAAACAACTTTTTGGGTCTTGTTTTACGTTAAAAAATAGGAAAACAAGAGGTTGTGGAAACAGTTAAGTTCTCTTTTTGCCCGAGAACATAGGAAAAATACTGTTGGTTGCAAGACAGAATATCAGATTGATGACGAAAGTTATGAGTACAAAGCTCTGGTTTCATGGACCTTTCGTTTAGGATGATATTTTTTAATATTGGAAAGCAATACTAAAAATACTTCCACACACTTATCTTTGCCCATCACCAAATGTAGCTTCGGTAGCTGCTCTGTAGGGTTGACAAACACAATTGTGTCTCCACAGATGACCGACTACATCAATGCGAGTTTCATGGACGGGTACAAGCAAAGGAATGCTTATATCGGCACTCAAGGTATTTATGGTCCCCGATCTTGAAAAGCATCACCTGGTTCTTTAGAGACCATTGAGAAGACGCAACATCTGCATTCAGAATCTGGAGTCTGTCAAATCCCAGCTCCCTCTTCTGGCTTTGCTCAACAGATGTGCCTGAAGCATGTCTGGAGCTTCAGAAAAACCCAGTCTCTTTTTATCAGGTTAGACTCGGAGTCCATCATCCTGTTTTCCAACTAGAAGCAACCAGATTGAGTTGCTAAATTTTAGTCCTGTCCAGTATACGTAATCCTTGACATACAATTGTAATGGAACCTGTGTCAGGGTTCAAAGTAACACCCCCAACGAAAGAAGACTCCGAGGCTTGAAGTTCCTCAAAGTTCCATTTTATTAGAGATGTCATATTGGCACATCTGGGAAAACCTGAATCTGAAAGCTTCCAGGTTTTCCCCACCCAAAAGAAAGTCCAAGTCCCTTCCCCCTGTGGGTGCAGGGGTGATGGACATGGTCCAGTCAAAGCACCATCCCAACTGGAGATGCCTCCCAGTTCCAGCCCTACAGGTGCAGGGCAAGATGTCCTTGACTCTCTGAGAAAGGAATGTTACTTTGACTATATATCACCCTGGCTCCACATAATCCCCCCTCCCAGTTTCCCATAGTAGTAAATGTGGCAGGCCTGAAGATCCAATGAAAAATATGGCTTCCAGGCTTGACAACCTGCTCATTATGTTTTTATTTTATTATTTATTAATTTTTTTTCTATACCGCCCTTCTCCCGAAGAACTCAGGGCAGTGTACAGCCTGATTAAAAGCACAAAGACAGACAAAATTTAAAAATATTTAAAATTATTAAATAATTGGCTCAATTATAAAACCCCCAAATTTAAAATCCCATATTTAAAACCAATTAAAACCTTTACATTGATGTTGTCTCCCATAATGGCCTAAAACAGGTTGGTCACATGACCAAGCCAATTTTATGACCTTTTTTGCGATGATCGTTGAGTGAACCAATAACCCACTGTGGCACCGTTTTGTCAAAACCCCAAAGAGCCTGTTTTCCACCGAGTGCTTTCTTACTCTCTTGAAATCCCTTTCGCTCCAATATTTCCACTCCACAAGGGAGGGAGATAATGGGCCAGGATCAGGACAACCTATATTAATGTAATGATGATCACATGATTGAGGGAGGCTGCAAAGGTCATAAATTGAAGACATTGGTCATAAAGTTATTTCTTCTGCACCATCATGACTTCAAACGGTCCCCGAACAAAGCAGTTGGTAAGCGAGGACTAACTATAGTATGTAGCTTTCAACAGCGTCTTTATATTTCCTGTTTCATTCTAGGGCCATTAGAAAACACATACAATGACTTCTGGCGGATGGTGTGGGAGCAGAACGTGCTGGTGATTGTGATGACCACAAGGTAACGTATCTGTGCATCAGACAATAAGTAAGCATGACCTTGATGGGCTTTAGGGGAGAGGGTGCCTGGCCCATTTGCACTGATGCTCTTCTGAAGATGCTCTTGACTTGAGACATCAAGTCAGAACCAAAACTCTTCTGGTTTTTGACTTGATGTCTTATGCTAACTGGGCCAACTGTGGTTCCTTCAAAAGATGTTTCTCCATGCTTCCGTTGAGCTCCAAGTTGACCACCTTCCGGGTATGCACACATTCCATATTCTCCCTTTCTTCTTTCCATGACAGGATTGAAGAAGGAGGCAAAAGGAAATGCGGTCAATACTGGCCCCTGGAGAAGGACTTCCAGATCGGCTATGGAACCTTAACGGTTACCAACCTTGGAACAGAGAACCTCAACCATTACAAGAAGACACTGCTAGAGATGTTCAGCTGTGAGGTAATTGCACAAACTCTTCATCAAAGGGCTAAGAGGTATCATACTGGTCTTCCCTTTTATAGCAGAGCCACTCCGTTGTTTACTCACAACCTATCCTCCTCCTCCTTTCAACCTTCTTTAGCTGGCACTTCCTGGATGGAGAATTAGGCTACACAAGATTATCTCGACTGGTTTCTGTTAACAGAAACAATCCTGGTGTCTTCAGATTTTTGGTCGTAGAGTCCCTCATTCTCCATTGGTTTGGCTCCATAACAGTGTTTCTCAACCTTGGTAGATTGAAGATGGGTGGACTTCAACTCCCAGGATTCCACAGCTGACCATGCCAGCTGGGGAATTCTAGGAGTTGAAGTCCACTCATCTTCAACCTTCTGAGGTTGAGAAACGTTGATCTAAAGCAAGGGTCTCCAACCTTGGCAACTTTAAGACTTCTGGACTTCAACTGACAGTTTTCAACAGTCAGCTTTGCTGGCTGAGAAACTCTGGAAGTTGAAGTCCACAAGTCTTAAAGTTGCCAAGGTTGGAGACCCCTGATCTAAAGGATGCCATAGGGGTCATAAATTCCCAGGTAGAAGATATCCTTGCAATAGTGGCATGAACGTGATGATCTGAAACGTGAGATCCTCTCTCTCTACCCCTCCCCCCTTTTCAACTACCTACAGAACCGCGAGAGACGCCGTGTGACCCATTTCCAGTACGTGAGCTGGCCCGACTACGGGGTCCCTTCCTCGGCAGCGACACTCATTGACTTCCTGGGAGCCGTCAAGCAGCAGCAGAGGGTGGCCGTCAGTGCCTTGGGACCACGCTACAAAGGTCACCCAGGCGGGCCACCCATTGTGGTACATTGCAGTGCCGGTATCGGAAGGACAGGTAACTGCATTGTCCTGGAATCTTGAGTGGAGGGTTGGATTTCCAAGAACTTCAGAAGCTTTCTCCCAGGGGTCCATCCTCTGCCTCCCAGCGTGCCCAGGGGTGAAATGCTACCGGTTCAGACCGGTTCGACCGAACCGGTAAAGATGGCGGCGGGTGGTTTGGAGAACTGGTAGCGATGGCAGCGTGAGGCTCCGCCCACTCGCCCAGTCGTTGTTACTTCCTGGTTTTAACCAGGAAGTAACCTGTTTTTTACCTTCTGCGTATGCGCAGAAGAGTTTGCGTGCACATGTGATACGTGCACTTCCGAACCGGTAGGAAAGGTAAGTAGATTTCACCCCTGAGCGTGCCCCATGTAACAAAGCCAGAGCTTAGGAACCTGGGAGTTGACGTTCAACACATCTGTTGGTGGCCCACCTTGGAGAAGACTTCCCACTTGTAAAACTGGGAGTAGGGGAGGTCATTTCCTCTTCCTTTAAATTTTTGGGATTGCAGAGAAGCGATCTTCTCCAACCTGTCGCCCTGTCCTGTATCAAACTCCAACTCCCCTCCCCCTCCCAAGGCCCTGCAGGTTGGGGGTTATGGGACCTGGAATCCCAATATTTTTCACCGAAAAGCAAACTCAAAAGAAGTTGATGCAAACACGGAATTGTTTCAGACAGTGGCCGATGGGCAATCCGTTCCTTTCACCCCCCTGTCCTTCCTTCCTTCCTTCCAGGTACTTTCTGCGCACTGGATATTTGTCTGTCGCAACTACAAGAGGTGGGGACCCTCAACATTTACCAGACGGTGGTGAGGATGAGGTCCCAGCGGGCCTTCAGCATCCAGACCCCTGAGCAGTATTACTTCTGCTACCTGGCCATCCTTGAGCACGCCTACAGAGAAAATCTCCTCCCCATCTCCCATCCCAGGAAGGGTCCCGAGAAGAGCTAATCCGAAGGTCTAGATTAGGTTTGGAAGCTCACCATGTCCTCAGGTTCAGGAGGATCTACTATGCTGTCAGATTCCTTCCTTCCTTCCTTCCTTCCTTCCTTCCTTCCTTCCTTCCTTCCTTCCTTCCTTCTTCTCACCTTCCTTCTTTCTCATGTTCCTCCTTTACTTTTTTCTCATCTTCTTTCCTTCTTTTCATCTTTCTTCCTTTCTCATCTTCCTTCCTTCTTTCTCTCCCTCCTTTCCTCCTGCTCAACAACTAGGTTTGGTCGGAGCTTTCAGCTGGACCTGGCCGGTGGCAAGCCCATTCTCCACCCCCCAAGTCTGGAGGACATTTTTCCTGGACCGCTCAGCCACGATGAGCCACGACCAGTAGCCACGGACAAGGAATCCCTTGAACCCACTGCCTTGACTGACCCGTGCCTTATTGAGAAAATATATATATATACTAGTAACGAACGAAGCAGACCTACGGGCTGCGTGAACCGAGTCCATGAACTGAAGGTCTCGGCTCTTCTCCATGGGCCTGTCCTACAAGAGGCTGCCTCGGAAGAACAACCCAACGCTTCAGTCTTAATGCCCGTTAGGCCTGCCTGTGTTTTGTCCATGTGTCCATGCAACGTCCTTCCCTTGCCCGGGATCGAACCATGATTCCCATTTACATAGGTGTAGCTGCTTCTAGCCAAGATTCAGCGTAACCTCATTCCGAGGGGCAACCTTCCACGCTACTGCCAAAGTTAATGGCGCTTTCTGTCTCCCTCCCATCACCCATCTCTGCCCCCTCCTTGGTTCAACTGTGCCCACTGACCCAAGCTTTCTCCCGCGCCCTTGAACGAGGGCACAGATGCCTACAAGGCTGGCATGACTGCAGGAGGTGGGAGGGGCAAACCCCAACTGCTGTGGAGAAGGCAAGTTAGGATTACATGTTCATCCATCAGTGGCCCTTTTTGGAGGGGCTTATCCATGGGGAGGGGGTGTCTCTGCAGCCCGCAGGGAAGGCAGGAGTGGGGGGAGGGAATAGCTTGTGTGTTTGTCCCTAGCGGGAAACGCTTAAGTGGCTGGTACGAATAGGGGACCAGAAGAAGGGCCCGAATTAGAAGGGCCCCATGGATTGGGGGCCACAGGCAGAGAGAGGCAGGGCTTTAAGCTGGAACCATTCCCTTCCACGGAGGCTCTTCTTCCAGATGAAGCTGGGGAAGGGGGGGAAAAATACTTTTAAGGCATCAAGTGACAGAGAAGGTTGTATGAATGTGGGGCACCCAGTAATCTCCCTTGTAGCATGTGGGGCCCCATAGCAGCAAGATATAGCATGGGTCTCGTATTCCGGAGCCCCGGTGTCTCCCACCCCACCCCCCCTCTCTCTGCTAGCAGAGGAAAAGTGGCCACGTCGAGCCACGCAAGTAACTTTATACTGGAACCAGATCTTTAGAACGTGTATATTTCTTATTTTTTATTTTTTACAACCCCCTTCTCTTCCCTTCCCCCGACCCCCTTTTTTTCGGTTTTTATATTTAATCTTAACTTGCGCATGTCCAAGTTGGAAATAATTGTAAATGGTCGCTGCTTCACAGCGAATGATGGGCTCTTTTGGGGGTGGGCGGGTTGTTTTATCACCATTAAATATGCCTACAACCCACAAGCTCGGTGCTCTTCCTTTTGCGGCTTCTGCAAATGAGTGTTTGAGGTCAGGGGGTCTCAAACCTCGTAGTCTTCCTCCTCTTGACGGACCTTGGCCCAATCCCAACACCTTTCGGCAAGCAAGCAAGCAAGCGATTCAGGTCTGTGTCGAAACTTCCATTCCTAGCTAGATGCTGGCTCGGGAATTCTGGGAGTTGAAGTCCACGCATCTTAACGTTTTGCCAAGATCGAGAAAAGACTCTTTTTAAGGATGTTCCCTTTCAGGCATGTAGCAAAACGAGGTTAAAAGAAACAAGCCTGCAGGATTGTTTTGAAGGTAGCTGGGTTTAGTTTTTTTTCCCCTTAGCCTGGGATTCATTTGAAGAACGGTTGCAGTCTTTGCACGGCTGAGCATCCTGGGAGAGGAATAAGGACTCGGGGTTCAAGTACCTGCCGTTATGGGCCGATTTGACTAAACGTGCAAATTTAGGCGGAATGCACCAGGTGAATGAATGCAGCGGAGTCGGACTTCGGCATTTTGCCCATCCTCTCATCCATTCTCTCATCCAGTCTAGTCTGCAGTTTGAAGACAAGACCCTATAACTTGCCTTTCCTGAAAGGAGGGATAGATATAACCAGTGGCATATTGCTACCGGTTCACATCAGATCAGGCGAACCGGTAGCGGCACTGGGAGGAGGCTCCGCCCACCTGCTTCTGTGCATGTGCAAAGCGCCCAGCACGCGCACGAGTGAACCAGTGGTGACGGGATTTGGAACCCCGCCCCTGGATATAACCTGGAACGGGGCAGGAGTAGGATAGTTCAAGGGAGCTACAGGGAAAAACAGGTGGAGAAGGTGATGTAGGAGAAAGGATGGCAGAACTTGGAGGTGGAGTCAAAAGAGGGATCAGCCTAGAATCCTTACGTAGCCACAAGCAAAGCAAATCTAACTCCCATTGAGTGCTGCTTATAAGGTGTAAGATAACCTTTATTGTCACTTTTTTCTAGCATATATTAAAACATGAAATTCTGATGCCCACTCACAAAGGAATTTTGATAAGATAGATGATACACACACACACACTATAAACATATAGAATAGAATAACAGTTGGAAGGGACCTTGGAGGTCTTCTAGTCCAACCCCCTGCCCAGGCAGGAAACCCTACACCACTTCAGACCAATGGTTATCCAACATCTTCTTAAAAACTTCCAGTGTTGGAGCATTCACAACTTCTGGAGGCAAGTTGTTCCACGGATTAATTGTTCTAAGTGTCAGGAAATTCCTCCTTAGTTCTCAGTTGTTTCTCTTCTTGATGAGTTTCCACCTGTTGCTTCTTGTCCTGCCTTCAGGTGCTTTGGAGAATAGCTTGACTCCCTCTCCTTTGTGGCAGCCCCTGAGATATTGGAAGATGCTATCATGTCTCCATTAGTCCTTCTTTTCATTAAATTAGACAAACCCAGTTCCTGCAACCGTTCTTCATATGTTTTAGCATCCAGTCCCCTAATCATCTTTGTTGCTCTTTTTAGAGTCCCAACATCTTTTTTACATTGTGGCGACCAAAACTGAATGCAGGATTCCAAGTGTGGCCTTATACATACCAGTATATATTAATCTCAGATGACTCCGAATACAGTGGAAAAAAGTCTCAGGAGTTAACAAGGTTGATACTATATGGCTGTGATGATGAACCTATGGCATGCGTGCCAAAAGTGGCACGCAAAGCCATCGCCCATTGCTCTTCCGGGTTCTGGCGTGCAGCCAGCTGGTCTTCATGCGTGTGGGAGCGCCAGAAACCAGAAGAGCAGCTGCCCGGTGCACATGCGCACGCCGAGAAGATGATCTTCTGGTTTCTTCTGGTCTTCCGGTTTCTGGCACACATGAGGGTGCAAAGACCAGTTAACTGGTGCGCATGCACGCAGCGGAAACCGGAAGATTATCTTCCCAGTGCATGCATGCGCACCTTCTAGTTTCCAACATGTGTGCATGCACTCATATTTCGGCACTCGGTGCCAAAAAGGATTGCCAACACTGCTCTACGGTATAAAGCTATTACCGAACCTAACTAACTCCAAGCAGGTGCTCACCCGTAGCTGAGAAGGTTCTTGTGCATAGGCATTTAGCAATGAATCGGTTTAACGGAACCTTCATTCGTGGTCCTGGTATCTGCTGTTGGCCTCTCATAACCATAGGAGCTAAATCTACTCAACTGTAAAGTGAAATTGACAGAAGTCTCAAAATACAATGCCCCCCCCCCTTCATTCTTTACTTCTGGAGAAACTAGGGAGGGCTTTTTTTTATGAGTCTTTCCCCACCTTTAACAGTAACAGAGTTGGAAGGGACCTTGGGAGGTCATCTATTCCAACCCCCCAGCTCACACAGGAGACCAATACGAGGGGTTCAAACCGCCGACAAGCTCAGCGTCTTAGTCACTTAGGGAGCAGTATCCTAGCATCCCTGTTTATTGCTTTCATTGTTTTACCTTGTTGCTCTTATTGCTTGTAAGCTGCTCAGAATCATCTCTAGGCAGCGTAGAAGCTTAATAAATATCCATTCGGAATTGTGACTATGCAGATTCATCCAGGTCACAGTTGTCCCAAAGGTTCTTTTTTTTCCCCCTAAGAGAGACAGAGACAACTGGACTTTCTGGTTTTTTTTCTTTGAAGACGTTTCGCTTCTCCTCCAAGAAGCCTCTTCAGTTCTGAAGAAAAAGGGAAGTCCAAGTTGCCTCTTGGAAAAGCACCTTTGGGAAGCCCATCGGAATCCGCACCTCAAAACTTTCTGGAGCAAGGCAACTGTTTTCCCCCCAAAAATTGACCCTTTGGGTGCCAAAGCAGCTTGAATGCTCCCAGGGCCAGCCCAGCTTTCTAAATTTTTGCAAGAGAGAGATCCCCCCCAAGCCAAAAACACGGGTCGGGAAGGCCATTCCCACGTTTCCCAGCCTCCTCCTGGGAGGTGTTTTATTTTCTTTATAACAAATAAATGAGTTTTATTAGAAACCTTCCTCGCGTTTCTTTTCAGATTATTGCAACTTGGAATAAGCCACGATACATCTCCTCTAAACCAGGGTCATTAGTCCCAGAGCCAAACATGGGATTAATAGATGCCCTGACATCCTCTCCTTCTACAGCAGTGTTTCTCAACTTTGGTAGCTTGAAGATGGGTGGACTTCAACTCCCAGAATCCCCCAGCCAGCAGCGCTGGCTGGGGGATTCTGGGAGTTGAAGTCCACCCATCTTCAAGCTACCAAGGTTGAGAAACACTGTTCTACAGACATCCTTCTTACAGATGCTGCTTGTCCATCAAACCCCTTTTTCATACAAGGGCCGGGGGGGGGGGGTTGCGGGGGGGAGGGAGAGAGAGAGAGAATAGAGAGGAGGCGTGGCCTAAATCGTAGCTTTAATCCCCGCCTCCCCCACAACGGTCTGTCTCCCTCGGCCAATCAGCGCCGGGGGGTGTGTCCCCCCCCCATTCAGGATTCCTCGCTTGGGGCTTTAAGGGTATGTAACAGCTGCTTTCAATTGACTCCCCCGAATGCTGGATCTGGGGTTTTTTTTATTATTATTATTTTATTATTATTTTCCTGCTGCTGCTGCTGCTTTTCCCGGGAGGAGGGGAGGGGGGAAGGCTGGGAACCTCGGGGGCTTTGGGGGGCAAGGGACCCTTCCCAAACCAGAGGAGTAAAGGAAGGAGAGAAGGGGGAAAAAAAGAAAAGAAAAGAAAGGGGGAGGCAAAGAGAGAGAGAGAGAGGTGGAGAAACAGGCTTAGGGCGGGAAAGGAGTGGGGAGGGGGAGTTGGAAGGAGTGGGGAGGGGGAGTTGGAAGGAGGGGCGAAGGAGGACCCCCCCGCCCATGCCCGGTTTCCGAAGTGGGGGGGGGACTATTCCGCAAAACGAAGGGTTGCCGGGGGGGGGGGGGGGGGGCGGGGCGGGGGAGGGGAGGGGGGGGGGGGGGTCCTTGCGCTGAGCTTCCACGCCGGAGGAGTTTTTGCAACGCCCGGGTTCCATCATCTTCCTCTTCCTCCCGCTGGGAAACTTCTCCACGTCTCGACCCCCCACCATCACCTTGGGGATGGGGGTCTGGGGGAGGAGCAAAGGAGAAGCCCTGGAGGGGCTGCGCGTGTGGCGCGAGCACTAAACGCGGGGGAGGAGCCAGGGCGCTTCCCCCCTCCCCTCCCCTCTCCTCCCCCCCCTTATTCCCCCCTCCTCTCTCTCTCTTCCCCCTCCTCCCTTCCGCCTACCCCCCCACACACACTTCCCTCCTTCTATTGCCCCCTCCTCCCCACGCGCCTACCTGGAAGCCCGGATTTCCGACCGGGGTCCAGGCTCTCTTTTTTGGGGGTGGGGGGGGGGACGCCCGGGCGGCCCTTCTTGGGCGGTCCGGGCTTGTCGGCTGCGGCGCCGGAGTTTCTCGCTCGACTTTGCAGTTGGCTGATTGTGAATGGGGAGGGGAGGGAGGAGGGAGAGGCAGGGACTGTCCACGCGGCCGCTGGCTAGCAGATGCGCGTCCGCACCTTGAGACAGGGCTCGCCTGTGCACGTGTGAAGGGAGATGCGAGCGGGGGGGGGGTAAAGAACCGTGTTCTTGTTGGCTCGCCTGGGACGTGAATCCGGGGCCCGGCGAGGCGGGGGAGTGGGGGGAGAAAGGAGCCTCCCCCATTGAACCCCCCATTGTTCCTAGTATTCCAAGCAGCACGTGGGGTTTGTGTCCCCCCTCCCCGGTCCTCTCCCTAATACCCGTTGTCTTTTGCCACTCCAACCCTGTGAGGTAGGCCAGGCTGAGCCTCCGTTGCCGCCTCAAAACTTCAAAGCGGGGAGGGGGGACTCCAGACCCTAGAAACGGCATTCACACGTTACGCGTGGCTTTCGGCTCGGATTCGTTGGGAGGTTTGGCTGGTCGGAGAGAGGAAAGGAAGCGATTGGTGGTTGTGCGCGGACAGGGGAGGGGAGGGGAGGGGGAATCGTGTGAATGAGGATCCTGACGCCGGTTTGGAGAGTTGCGACCGTGTCAAGGGTCCAGCCGGGTCCCTCCCCCCGCCCCGCGCTTAGGGGGCTGGACCGATCGGGGTCGCGCTTTGTGCCGGGCGCAGGCTGGCTTGGCTGCCCTGGGAATGCGGAGCCCGTGGGAACTGATGTAGCGAGAGAGATTGCCCAGAAGGAAGCGAGATCGGAAGCATTTTTTTCCGGGGGGGGGGAAATCGAGCCCCCTCCCCTCTTTTTCCAACCCAGAGCTGGGGGGGGGCAGAGGGAGGGTGGCTCCGCTAGCCCCTCCCACCAGGCGGCCTTGAAAGAACACCATCCCGGAAGTCAAACCCTCTAAACCCGGTTCTGGGGGTGGGGAGGGGGTGGGGAGACGACGCCCCCCCCCAAATCTGGCAATTGCAGTGCAGACGACCAGGAGAGAGGGGGAGGGGGCAGCATTTCCGGTCTGGCAGGGTGGTGTGTCCAAGACCCTCGGGCGGAGGAATGGGGGAGCTTCCCTCTCCAGGGGAAGTGTACCCCATACATGGGCATTGCATCGGCCTTCGCTCGCTCGCTTCCATTCGCCGCCCATTCATTCTAGTAAACGGCGCTGTTACTACTCGGCGATTTTCTATCTATATCTCGGAAAGAGAGGAAAGCGCGCGTGGGTTTATTAGGCGGCGGTTCTCAGCCTTGCAACTTGAAAGTCGGTGGATTTCCACGCCCAGAATTCCCCAGCTGGGAGTGGGAAGCCCAGCCACTGCCAGGGCATCCCAGAAACAGTCAAGTCGCTCTTTCCAGGGCCCTTGTAAGGTGGGACAGTCACTAAACAGGTGGTTGTAAGTTGAAGACTGCCTGCCTGCTGTTTTCTTAGTTGAAAGAAAGAATGTGGAAGGTGGGCACACAAGAAAACACGAGGGGGGAACATGGTTAAATAAAAACACATTTTGCAGAATGAATTTGAGGGATGCCCGATGACCACAAGGGGTTGAATAACTTTAAAAGTGGGGGGGAGGGATTAACTAACTCATCCTTGGCTGCATTTTCCAAAACTACGTGTTTTCTTCAAAATTGGAAGTAATGGTCAGCTCCCCCCACCTCCCCACCCCCCTCTTATGCAATGAGGTTTCTTTAAACTGGGATTATCTGAGTCAAATGCATTGGCTTAAAAGTGTACAACACAACAGTTTAGAAGCCAAGGGTTGCAAACTTCGTAACTTGCTTAGTGTGACTTCCAGGTTTTCAGTCCAGAGTTGCTCAGTTTTCAAGGTGGGGGGGTGGTCTTTGAAAGGCACCCTGGAATTCAGGGCCTTGTCCTGGAAGGGTGAGATCCAGACTGCCCAAAGCTTGGCTGGTCTCTAGATAAAGATCTATAGATTTCCACCGGAAAGGATCTGCATCTTTGTCTTGCCCGAGCAAAAGGAACATTGTTCTATGCTTGGCCAAGTCAAAGGTGGGAATAGGCTGGGGGGGGGGGGGACTGTTGAAAGCTAGGTAGATTGCTTCAAAGATTTGGGGAGGGGGAGCGAGTACAGGAAAAGAGTGGGGGAGAAAAGTGTTTAACACTTCAAGTGGATACAATCAAAATTGATTACATTTTGCTTTGTTCTGAAAGCTAAGGTTTACCTACAGGAACATCTCCATCTGTTCCCTTTTCCTTCCTTCCTTCCTTCCTTCCTTCCTTCCCTCCCTCTCCTTTTCCCTCCTTCCTTCCTTCCCTCCCTCTCCTTTTCTCTCCTTCCTTCCTTCCTTCCTTCCTTCCTTCCTTCCTTCCTTCCCTCTCCTTTTCTAATCTTCCTTCCATCTCCTTTTCTCATCTTCCTTCCCTCCCTCTCCTTTTCTCTCCTTCCTTCCTAGGTAGATCAGGCTGAACGACAGCCTTAATTTAAGATCACCCAGGGAATTTGGGGGACTCCTCAAACCTAAATTTGAATGTTCTGATTTTTTGGGACCCCCCCCCAAGTTTTCATTGTACAACAGCTTTTTTTTCCCCTGAACCAGGGCCCTCCAGCTATGTTCAGAAGATAACTCAGTCATCAAAGGTGTAGGGTTCAAAAAATGCAGGTTTACCAGTGCTTTTGAATGTTTGCTCGCCTTGTGTTTCTACCTTGGCCCTGCTTTTCCTGATGCTTTTATTCAAGTCTAGTCATGTTGGGTGACTTTTTTTATAATTTTAATGGGGAGGAGGAGATCCTGACTTTGAATTGTAGGCATTCCTGGCAATGGAGACGACTAGACTGCAGTGTGATAGCAGCTTTTAGGCACGTGGAAAGATGTGAATGTGAAAAAAGGAGGAGGGTGAAAGTGTGAGTGAGGACTCCTGCTGCTGTTTTGGTTTACTGTGAGATGCCTGCAATTTTGGAGTGAATTGGCCGCCCAGAGTCGGTGTGTGTGAGTTAGGCAACTATATAAATATGTTTAATAAATAAAAATAATTTTACTGCACGTTTCCAAAGCAGCATCTGAGAATTGGTTGTGCTTCCCAGCCAAAGCACATCCTGCCCTCTTACTCTGAACTGTAATTAACTTGATTATTCCTGACGCGAGGAGGATGGTGTCACTTGCTTTCTGAGCCATCCAGGATACTGGGCTGGAAGGGACAGATGTTTAATGCAGTGTGTAATTGGGCAGAGACGGGATAGCAAACAGTCACGTAATTCAGGTTGTGTGTTCGCACTGACACACTGCCCCGTGGCTGGCTGGCCATGCCATCACATGGCAGGATGCATTAAAATATACCTGGCTGAATTGGGGCTCAGCAGAGCAGGCAAACGCACAGTTCAGTGTCACTTTATAAAATATCATTTTTCAGTAGCAGAATGTACTGTACTTTTTTTTAACTAGATCATTCCATTTTTTAAAAAAATCTGTCTGCTTCCAGATTTTCTATCCTGTCCTTTCCAAGAATTCTCCCATCTTAAGGAGATAGTTCTTCTTTATCTTAGGTGTACTTGTGAATGGATGGAGTGTATAAATATCCATATTTATGAGCGGATGGAGTGTACCCACCTTTGGAAGATCAGTTTACTGTAAATACTCTATAGCCTTCTGTATTAGTCCAACCCCCTGCTTAGGCAGGAAACCCTACCCCACTTCAGACAAATGGTTATCCAACCTCTTCTTAAAAACTTCCAGTGTTGGAGCATTCGCAACTTCTGGACGCAAGTTGTTCCAGGGATTAATTGTTCTCACTGCCAGGAAATTTCTCCTTACTTCTAAATTGCTTCTCTCCTTGATGGGTTTCCACCCATTGCTTCTTCTCCTGCCCTCAGGTGCTTTGGAGAACAGCTTGACTCCCTCTTCTTTGTGGCAGCCCCTGTGATACTGGAAGACTTGCTATGTCTCCTCTAGTCCTTCTTTTCATTAAACTAGACGTACCCAGTTCCTGCAACCGTTCTTCATATGTTTTAGCATCCAGTCCCCTAATCCTCTTTGTTGCTCTTCTCTGCAGTCTTTCTAGAGTCTCCACATCTTTTTTTACCCACGTTAAAACTGGGCACTTAAAAGTAAATAATCACCTGGAAACAGAAACTCATTCAGGTTTTTGTGGACTGCATGGTGGAGAGCCCATTTCCCAAGACTGGTTTAATTATGTAATTCATGGGGTGGGGGGTTTAAATGAAATATCACATAAGATTTGCATAGTGCTTATTTCCGGACATCTTGTTCTTAGGTGTTCGAGCAAACCGTCTATGAAAAAAACTTATTTTTTTTAAAAAAAAAGTGGGGGGGAGTTTCATTATTGAGCTTCGAAAGAGAAACAGAGCTGCTCGGCTTTCTTGCAAACCCTGTCCAAGTGCCACGTTTGGGCTTCTCCGCAGCGCAAGTGGCGGTTTGAAGGGCAGTTTCAGACCGGCGTCCTGCTTGGTTGGCAAATGCAACCAAGAATTTACATTTATTTTTTTAAATATATATATATATATTTTTATTTGCAGAAACTGGTTTGGCCCGAGGTTTTGATTGGGGGGGGGAAGCGGATGCATTTGGGAATTGTTGCCCTGCGATTGCAAAGCGCGAAGGGAGACCTGTTGCCTCCGCCCCCAAGCCTTAAGACTTCCGGGAAGGGGAGCGGTTGGGCTGCGTGGGTTTCCCGTGGAGGGAGGGGGAGAGATGCAGTTGCAGCAACATCAGCGGGGAGATGTTTGTGTGTGTGTCCGTTGCAACCGGGGGCGCCTGGCAATTGCAAGCCTTGGCTTTTGCGAGTTGCGGTTGTAGTCCGGTGCTTTGCATTTCCCCCCCTCTTTCTCAGCTTGGTTGCACGGGGCTGGGGGGCCTTTCTGCGCTTGCACGCGAGCCACGCTGCCCGGGCGTTGCGCGGATTTGCAAAGGCGGCGGCAGCAGCAGCGCCGATGTAAACATTCCACAATAGGGCTCCCCGGAGAAGGGGCGGGGCCTCCCGCCAGCCTGGGTGGGCGGAGACAGCCCAAGAGCGTCGAGGGGCGGAGCCGCCTCTTTCCTCGCCCGCTCTTCTGTAAATCCCACCCTTTGGCTTGAGTGGCGGCGCTTCTCGTCCAAGGGGCAGCGGTGGCAGCGGAGGTCCGGCCAATGAGCGCCGCGCAGGGCGGGTCCTCCGCGTCCCATACGGACATTTTCTCAACCTTCTCTCCACCCCTTTTTCTACACTCCCCCTCCCTCTCCCAAACCCGCCTTTGGCATCCCCTTCCTGGGAGCTGGAAGCCAATCGGGGCGGCGGAAGGGAGGCTGCGCTGCGCGGGGATTGGACGAAGCGCTAGAGCGGCAGCCCGGCCGCCCTGTAGCCGCGCGGGAGGCCTCCCCGGAGCAGAGGAGGGGCGGGATTTCTCAGGGAACAGAGAAGCGGGCAGCGCTTGGCGGTGGCCGTCCTGAGACGGTTGGTCTGTGGCCGCGGTGTCCCTTCCCATTCCCCCGGACCCCTCACGGGAGCCCGAGGCCTGCCTGCCTGGCCGGCCGCCCACTCCTCCGCCCAGGCCCGACCCGGCCTTCTGCCTTTCCCTCAGCGCGGGGAGGAGAAAGACGGGAGACGCGGACGAGGATTCGCCGCGCCGGCTCTTGAGGCGAGGCGGTGCTCACCGGCGGCGGCGGCACGCAGGTGAGGCGAGGCGGGGAGGGCGAGGAGGGAGGGGGCAGCGCGCGCGGCGTGACGAGAGCCCGAGTCTGCGGGAGGAGGAGGAGGAGGGGGGGGGCGCGCGCGGGGAGGGAGGGAGGGAGCCAGGGAGGGCGGGGCCTGGAGGCGTGTGGCGCGCGCGCTCGAGCGTGCAGGGGAGGGCGGGCCGACCGCCGGCGCTCGGCCAATCGCGGCTCCGGGTGCTCCAGGGCTCCGCCCCTTCGCTCCCGAACGGCCGCGGCGGGTTAGCCGCGCCGCCCCCGCTCCCCCCGCAGGCTCCGCCCCCTTTTTGCCCCGAGCCCGCCGCGGGGGCGGGCCGCCGGCGAGGCTCCTCCCCCTCTCCCGTCATGCCTCTTTCCCCTCCCCCTCCCCTCCGGTGGCCAGCCAGGCTCCTCCCCGGCGACGCGGCGGGGCGGGGCCGGTCCCTGCTGCTGCTGCCGCGGGCGGGCGGGCTCCCCGGACCCATCATCCCCAGCCGGGGATGGGTAGGGTGCTGCAACGCCTCCCGCCCCCCCCCCCGTGGCTGTTGGGGGGGGGGCTGCGGGTCCCGGGTGGGGGGGGGGCCCCCTTGGCCCTCACCCCCGGCCTTGGGGCCCATTGGGGGGGGGGGGGCAGCCCAAGTCCAGCACATCTGGAGATGCACAGCTGGGTAGTTTCCTTAGATACCGGATTCTCCCACTGCAATTCTATGGCTCCATATTAGGGTGCTTTTATTAGGGTTTTGGGTTAATTTAAGGTATTGTCTCCTATGTAGTATTGCCCCCCCTGTCTTTTATAAAGGTATCTATTTATCCATCCATATCTACCTACCTACCTATCCATCTATCTATACCAGGGGTGGGCAAAGGTGGCCCTTTTACAACCTGTGGACTTCAACTCCCAGAATTCCTGAGACAGCCAAGCTGGCTCAGGAATTCTGGGAGTTGAAGTCCACAGGTTGTAAAGGGGCCATATTTGCCCACCCCTGATCTATACCTATCTATCATCCATCCATCTATTGATCATATCTATCTACCATGTTTCCCCGAAAATAAGACCCTGTCTTATATTTTTTTGAACCCTGAAATAAGTGCTTGGCCTTATTGCCATGCACTCAAAAGCCCAATTTGGCTGATTATCAGGGGATGCCTTATTTTGGGGGAAACAGGGTATCTATCTATCTATCTATCTATCTATCTATCTATCTATCTATCTATACCTATCCATCCATCCATCTATCTATCTATCTCTGTACCTGCCTACCTACTACCTATCCATCATCTATCTATTTCTCTATCTACTTACCTACCTAGTATGTATGTATCTATCTTCATCATTTCAATCTATCTCTTCCTTTTCTCTCCCTTTCTCTATCATCTACATCTATCTAGACACACACACACACACGCACAGGTAATCCGCAAGTTAGGAGCACAGTTGACCCCAACATTTCCACTGCTAAGCAAGACACTTGCTAAGTGGGCTTTGCCCCATTTTGCCCCATTTCTTGACCCTGTTCTCATGTGAACCCCTGCAGTTGTTTAGTTAGTGGCACGGTTCTTAAGGTGAATCTTGGCTTCTCTGTTGACTGTGCCTGTCAGAAGGTCACAAAAGGGGAATCCCCGGATACTGCAAGTGTTGTTATATTCATATATAATTGCTGACCTTTATTTAAACTGTATATCAGTGATTGCATGACCTCTGTAGATGCCATATGCTAAATCAATAAATAAGAGAGTCACAGTGGGAGGAAGGTTGATGAGCCCCAAGTCTGCCCCCTTGCCTTTTGAGGAAAGGGAGCCCCAGTTTCAACGGGGGGGGGGACATCCTCTTATGGTATGGGGGTCCCATCCTCATCCCAGGGCTTCCATTCTTCCATCACTACCTGCTAATTCCCTGTTTGTGTCTTTTTGAACACAAACACACCTGCTTGAGAGCTGCCCAGCCCTGCTGAATTGATGAAGCTTCTAAGCAAAGGGGGGGAAACTTCCTTAATTGTTGCTGCAGCAAAGAGAAATTAATGTAGGATATTTCAAGGCAGGGGATCTAACGATTGTCTTACTGTAATTTTTAAATGGGATCTTATAGATCCTCCAATCTGGTGTTTCTTAAAGTTGATGGCTTTAAGACATATAGACTTCAATTCCCAGAATTCCCCAGCCGGCATCTTCAAGATGTGGGGACTTCAATTCCCAGAACTCTTCCGCTCAGACCTTATACGATGCTTTTTCGATCAGCGTTTTTCAACCTTGGCAACTTTTTAAGATTTGTGGACTTCAACTCCCAGAATTCTCCCATAGCCGGCTGGGGAATTCTGGGAGCTGAAATCCATGCATCTCAAAAGTTGCCAACTTGGGAGAAACACTGCAGTCTGATCCCACCCAGTGCAGGAATCCACTCCTACCATGCACCTAATAGATCAGTGTTTCTCAATCTTGGAAGCTTGAAGATGGGTGGACTTCAACTCCCAGAATCCCCCAGCCAGCGCTGCTGGCTGGGGTATTCTGGGAGTTGAAGTCCACCCATCTTCAAGCTACCAAAGTTGAGAAACACTGTAATAGATGGTCATCCGACCTCTGGGTCCTCTCTCGCCATCATCCAACATTCTCCCTTTGCTTATTTCCATTTGTTTTGTTTTTTTGTTTTTACTTTGGTAGCTGCATTTTTATATGCTGCTCTTCAGCTCAGGTATGCAATGCTGGGGAGGTGGGGGGCACATCATTGAAAGAGAAGGAGAACGAATGGTCATGCCTACCCCGAGCACCGAATTGCAAGCATCTGTGGGCGATAGAGGCAGCGTCCCTGTGTCTGTTGGAGAAATCTTTTGAGGATGTATGTGTTGGCAGTGCAGATACTCTGTTTTAGCTGAGTTTTATCAGGGACGCCCTTGTGAGACATTAGTGGCCTTTTGCATTTCGGCACTTTGCTGTTCCAGCCACTTGCTCTGAATCTCGTTTCAGTCCCTTCGCCTCTCTGCTGGGCTTTCTGTCCTCAAATGCTCCATATCTCCACACCAACAGGCAGTCCTCGGCCAGACACCAGGGTGTGCTAAAACGGGATTTACTCCTATTAAATCTCCTCTTGAGTGTGCTTTAAATGGAATGATTCAGTGCGCAGCCTTTGTGAGAGGCTGTTTAAATATCATAGTTGTTGGCGGTATGAAATTTGGAGGGCCGGCTGGACGCTAGCAGCCCTTTTCCTCTTGTTTATTTCCTATTTTAGGAATGCAAAGCTTAATTAATCCCCTGGTCAGAAATAGATAGCTAGCTTAGCGTGGATGAGTGAGCACCTAATATTTCTCTCAATAGCAAGATTGTGGTGTTGTTGTTTTTTTATAACTGAGCTAGTTTTTATATATTTGAGAAATTTGAGATTTCTTCGCGTTTTTATTCCGCATTGCTAGTTAAATGTGCAGGATCTATTTCCAAAGTCCTTTGGAATGTTGTTAAGATTCCTTTATATTTGTCATGATGCTAACTACCGAAAACGCAGTAGTATGAATAGTTCATTGAGGCTAAAGTTTCATTTTGTTTATTTTTATTTTACATTATTTATTTATTTTGCTGCTTGGATACCAAGCAAAAATGGCTTTGATCATCTGATGAACTATTGGATTCACATAAATATATTAAACCATGACTTAAGCAATCTATATATATATTCGTATCTTGAACTAAAAACACAAACTAGGTTTTATAAACCACAGAAGCTGTGTTTGCGTAACACACTAAATCAGACAAACATAAGTGATGTTTCGGTTTAGTGTAAAATACTTAGATGCAAGTCTATTGATTTTAGAGGCATTCCGATAGGATGCTAGCCACAGTGGTTTTTTTAATTCAAAAGGCTATTCAGTTTCGAACTCAAAACTCAAGGAACCATACTTAGATGTCACTTGTATTACACACTTCCTGGCAAGCCTACAGTATTTAAGATTACAGGTGTTGTTGGACAGAAGCTTTTTAGATCTTGAAAAAAAGTTACATGCATCTGAATTTTCAATTTTTACTGGCTTATATTTTACGTCTTCCAGTACATCATAAAATGTAATTCTATCAGGTATCGGGTCCACTACCCCTTCAGTGAGCTTTCCAACCAGTCTAATGCATCAACAATAAAATTAGTTCATGCCTTTATTAATAATATGTACGTTTGACGTCATAATCCAGCGTTTTTCCAACCTGTGACATCCCAAATGTGTTGGATCAAAAGATATATTGAACTGATGTTCAATACGTCTATAATGGGTTTTTGTCCCCCCAAGCTTGGCAACTTTAAGATGTATGGACTTCAACTCCCAGAATCCCTCATGACTGCCTGGGGTCAGGCTTCATCTAAGACTGTCCCTTAAAGATGTTCCAGAACTTGTGAACTTTTAAAATGTGAGACATGTCAGAACTGGTATGGGCAGCCAAGTTTTCTGAATAGTCTCCCTGTCTTGATTGTTGTTCAGATTTAATCCAGTGATGGAAAGCTTGAACAATGAACCAAAAATACACTTATTTTTTTTTCCCTTAGCCTTTCTTTTTTCTGTTCATTTCCACAATTCTCTTCCCAAGTAGTAATATCAAATTTTAATTAATAAAGTCCCTTCCACTTTCCTTCCATCATGGCCCCAAAGACTGAAAGATCTTTTATGGAAAATACTCATTGCAGGGACTAATTGTGGATTATGCATTTCTTCTCTATCCAAATTTGACCTGAAACTTTGTCTTGAAAATTGTATTGTAAACAGAACAGGTGATACTTCTTTTTTTCTTTTTGGTCTCATGCTTTCATTTGTCCTTAATGTTTAGATCTACCAAGTGGTGGAAAGTTAGTGTATTCTTTCAAACCCCATTCAGGACTCTCTCTCTCCCCTAATTTTTGGCCCACATTTGTGTGTATTTGCTATTCCAATAAATACGCCTTCAAGTTTGGGGGTGTAGATGTGGCAAGGATCCTTCTGGTCTCAGCATCTTCAGTTTTCCGCTTAGCGATGAAGGTTCATCTTTTGATGTGAAATGCATTCTTCAGGTATATGTTCACAGATTAATTTTCATGTACTCAATAGCTCATTAAGCATGTTCAATTACTGCAGTGAAATGCCCCTATGTTTGTATAATTCATCTTCACTGCAGGCAGAAAGACAAAAAGCACAGTCCACGCAGAAGGAATTGACATCTTAACTCCTGAAAGGCCTTTTGTCCCAGGTGCTGAAGAGGGGAAATAGATGATAGCCTCCAACGATCTTAACAAGGGTGGTGATTCATATAAAACAGATTCTGTGAAACTTGGCTAGTTCATTCAACACAGAGCTGCGGACATCGGAGTTTAAAGCACAGGTGGAAAATAACGTTCCTTAGACCGAAGTATACTTTCTGTTCTATAAATAAAAACTGATAATAATCAAAGGCATCGGCAAGCACAGATTTGATTTGAGGGTGTGAAGGACAAAGGGTGGGGAAGGGAGACCCCGTCTCATTTAATACATTTGTATTCTGGCAAGCCAGTTTAAGAAGGGCCAGAGGGACGGCACAAAGGAACACTTTAAAGCAGGGGTCTCCAACCTTGGCAACTTTAAGCCTGGCGGACTTCAACTCCCAGAATTCCCAGCTTTGCTGGCTGGGGAATTCTGGGAGTTGAAGTCCGCCAGGCTTAAAGTCGCCAAGGTTGGAGACCCCTGCTTTAAAGGGCTGATTTCAAAAGGGTTTTTTTTTTTTTGGTCACTGTTCTGTAAGAGAAAAGAGTTTTTAATTCTTCAGTATCCGTTCCAGCAGCTCTCTCTCGCCTAACCCTGTGGGCAGTTCAACAGCAGCTGCTTCAAAGCCATGTGCAAGGTGTATGTTTCATTGGGAACAACCTGGGAGGATATTTACTACGCTTTTGAAAGGCTGCTGAATCTTAAGTGACTCATTCATGTAACTGCGGTGCCAGCAAAGCTGACAATAAATGCTCCAGATGCAATTAATGCGTTCTCTCCCGACACGTTTTAGAATTAATACGCCGAGTGAAGATCGTGCAAATTACTTCTGCGTAGCCTCTTGAGCCACACAGAGGCTGGAGATCACGATCAAGATATATTTAAAAATACATTCCATTCTGGGAGTTGAGATCCACCGGTCTTTAAAAGTGGCAAAGGATGGGCACCCCTCACTTAGATCACTTAAGGTTGGGAGGGGGTGGTTGATTGTCTGCCCTTCACTTACAGCCTTCCGTTTAGTGCCCAAAGTTACATCAGCACTGAAAAAAGTGACTTTTGGCCATTTTTCACACTTACTGACCGTTGCAACACCACATGATCCAAATCCGGGCGCTTGGCAACTGGCTCAAATTTATGACGTTGGCAACGTCCTGGGGTCGTGGGATCCCGTTTTGCGACCTTCTGACAAGCAGAATCAAATGTGGGAACTCACTTAACAACAGCGTTGCTAATTTAATAGCCGCAGCTTGGATTCCTTCCGAGCCGCTCTTGGCAAGAAAGGTCTTGATGGGTCTCCAAGCTCCCTTAACCACGGTCTCCCTTTTAGCCACAGAAAGTGGTCGTAAGTCGAGGACCGCCTGCCTTTGATCCTTTCTGTCTCCCCGCAGGTTTCGTAGGGCTTTCCTGAGCATGAATTCAGGATGAAGCGGCGAGTGGAGGAACAGGACTCCCCCGTCTACGCGTCCCAGCAGAGACGCATCGCCAGCAGCGCCGAGCCCTTCCAGCACCAACATCGCGTGCTCGCTCCGGCCCCCCCTGTCTATGAATCGGTTTCGGAGACCATGCAATCCGCTACCGGGATCCAGTACTCGGTCACTCCCAGCTACCAGGTAAGAGACGCTGCCCGTCCTGTTGGGAAGCATTGAAACAACTCTCGGGAGCAGGAGCTGCACAGCGGCAAAATGGGGGGGTCGCTCTTCCGCCTTTGGGAAATCCTTGTGCTCCTCGTCGGAAGCGAACGCTTTCGATAACACAATTGATGCGGGTCCCTGAATTTGCATATGGGGCCTATGGCGAGCAAAGATGCAGGTAGGGGTGTCAAAGGGCATTGAGTTTCTAAACCACAACCGTGTGGAGAAGACTTTCCAACATCCTCAAGGTCAGGGGGTCTCCAACCTTGTCCACTTTCAGCCTGGTGGCATAGCCGGCTGTGGAATTCTGGGAATTGAAGTCCACTCATCTTCAATCTGCCACGGTTGAGAAGCACTAGTTACGCAGCCAAACCAATAGAGAATGAGGGAATTTACGACCAGAAATCTGAGGACACCAGGAATGTTTCTCAAATCAAGCCCTTTATTGTCAATGCACAACATGTGTACAATGAGATTGAATGAGCCTCCCTTGGTGCACCCCCCCCCCCCCTCTCCCCTGAAACACAGAATACGTCACAATAACTCCACACATAAAAGGAAAGGAAATCCCTAAACTCAAACACCGTATTTTTTGGAGTATAAGACGCTCCGGACTATAAGATTTATATATACTATAATTCTGGGTGTTGGTCCCCAAGGCTTAAAGTTGCCAAGTTTGGAGACCCCCTGCTCAAGACAATGCAGGTAGCCTCACCCCCGCCACCGGCCCAACTTAAACAACCATTTGCTTAGTGACCGTTCCAATAGCACTGAAAAAAAGAGTGCGCTACGACCATTTTTCACACTTATGACCGTTGCAGCGTCCCCCGTGGTCAGAATTCAGAGGCTTGGCAACTGGTTCACATTTATGACGGTGGTCGCAGCATCCTGGGCTCTTGTGACCCCCTTTTGCGACCTTCCAACCCACAAGAGTCAATGGGGAGGCTGAGTTCACTTCACAGCCGTGTGACTCACTCAGCCCCTGCAGCCCTTCATTCATTCATTCATTTAACCCCTGGGGGAAAAAAGTTCATAGAGTGCTGGAAAATTCACTTTTAACCACTGTCGCGTTCAGCAACAGAAATGTTGGGCTTGATGGTGGTCATAAGTCAAGGACTGCCTGAGCCGTTAGTTGGATTTTTAGATGGTTCAGTTAGTAGCATCACCCGATTTTTTTTCTTTTTCCACCATAATGAAAAGACTTCTTGCTTGCCCTTGCTTGACTCTGGGCCGGATCCTGCCGGGGCCTACATAACCCCCATGTCATTTTTTCTTGCCTCCCCTCCCCAGGTGTCCACCGTTCCCCAGAGCTCCAACAGCCACGGCCCCACTTTAGCCGCCGTCCACAGCGGGCATCACCACCCCACCCCGGTTCAGCCCCACGGAAGCCAAGTGGTGCAGAGCCATGCCCATCCGACTCCGCCAGCAGCACCAGTCCAGGGGCAGCAGCAGTTCCAGAGGCTGAAGGTGAGCCTGGCCAGAGGGACCAAGGGTTGAGAATCCGTTTGATCTTCCACTTGCTGCTGAACAGAATCGGAAGAGAGCTGGACGGGACCTCGGAGGTCTTCTAGTCCAGCCCCTTGCTCAAGCAGGAGACCCTCTCCCATTTCAGACAAGTGGCTGTCCGGTCTCTCCTTGAAAGCCTCCAATGTTGGAGCACCCAGGTTGAGAGACACGGACGTAAAGCAACTTCAAACTAGACCGTAAAATAAATTCCATGTTTTGTGCATGTGTGTTGAGTTGCGTTTTTGATACTCGGTGATCGTCCCTTTTGTTCAGATGTGAACTGCTTATGCTTTATTGATGGGTTTGCGTTATACATCCCACCTTCCTCCACGCAAAGCAACATTTGCATCTTCGGATATATTTGTTGGTTGGTTTGTTTACGCGCTCCGCTTTTCCACTCTGCCTTCTTCATACTTTTATAACCAGTGAAGACAAAGTGTTAATTCACTCCACTCCTCCTTCCATCCTCAGTGGTGTAGAAAGTGAAATTGCTACTTTGTGCCTACTAACAGCTTTGGAAGACATTGTGCAAAGAGTTGTATTTAACTTAACATTCAATCATTTTCCTGCTTGGGTTGGGCCGAAGGATACAAAAAGCATAAAAACTTTGGAAGCAAAGTCAGTTCCGAATGCTTTGAAGAGCGTGTATCTCTAGGAACACAATAAAATACCAGTGATTCTTTTCTTTTAATTGTGATCATCATTATTAATACTTAGATTAACCGCACAATGTAGGTTTATTACAGATCATTTCTTTTTATTAGCCAAACCAATCTTTTCCCGATGCTATGTAAGTTCAAATTGTTTTACTTAAAATTTGTTGGGAAGTTATTGCTCTATAAATATTATTAGGCCCTTAGTTCAGTTTTGAACATTTAAACAAGGTTCGCTTTTATCAGTATTTTATCACTGGTATCCGAACTAAGTTTACTCTTGAAAGCGTGGAGACGAAAATGTTGTTGGAAAGGGATGTTTTTAACTTGGCTTATTTTGGTTACAGGTCGAAGATGCTCTTTCTTACCTTGACCAGGTGAAGCTGCAATTCGGTAGCCAGCCTCAAGTCTACAATGATTTCTTGGACATAATGAAGGAGTTTAAATCTCAAAGGTATAAGGAATGGCTGCTGCTTCTTTTTTTTCTTTTCTTTTTTTGGCATTTGTTTTTATTTTCCTATATTTGATAGGAATCCAATCGTTACGGCTTGTTCAACAAACAGTTGTTGTTAGTTGCAAAGTCGTGTCCGACCCATCGCAACCCCATGGACCACGTTCCTCCAGGCCTTCCTGTCCTCTACCATCCTCTGGAGGCCATTTAAACTCACGCCGACTGCTTCAGTGACTCCATCCAGCCACCTTGCTCTCTGCCGTCCCCTTCTTCTTTTGCCCTCCATCGTTCCCAGCATGAGGCTCTTCTCCAGTGAGTCCTTCCTTCTCATTAGGTGGCCAAAGTATTTGAGTTTCCTCTTCAGGATCTGGCCTTCTAAAGAGTAGTCAGGGTTGATCTCCTCTAGGACTGACCGGTTGGATCGCCTTGCAGTCCAAGGGACTCGCAGGAATCTCCTCCGGCACCAGAGTTCAAAGGCCTCAACAAACAGTAGTGAACATAAATGTAGCCTGATGCTTAAAACTCAAGCAATCTTGCGGTAATGCTGTCTTTTATCACCAAGCACTAGTGTCTGCCTAGGTTTTTCCTCTGCAGGTAGTCCTCGATGTATGGCTGCAATTGAGCCCCAAATTTCTGTTGTTAAGTGAGACATTTGTTAAGTGCCCCGTTTTACGAACTTTCTGGCCTACTAAGCGGGTTGCTAAGTGAATCTGGTTTTGCTTGTCAGAAGGATACAAAAGGTGACCACATGCTTCTGACACAGCGAGAGTCATAAATACGAACCACTTGCCAAGGGTCCGGATTTTGATCCCATGATCATGGGGAAGCTGGAAAAGGTGGTAACTGAAAGACAGTCCTAGGTCCCTTCAGCTCCGTTGTAACTTTGGACGGTCACTAAACAAACTGTTGTAAGTCGGGGACTACCTGTGTTTGTTTCCCTTGTGGCCGTAAGGGATCCATCTTCTTTTATGCAGCCTGTCTTTACACCTGTTGGAATTCGTGGCAGGAATCTGATGTCTTTTTTCTTTTCTTTTCTTTTCTTTTGCCGGGCTCCCCGCACAGCATCGACACTCCCGGGGTGATCAGCCGTGTCTCTCAGCTCTTCAAAGGCCACCCAGATTTGATCATGGGTTTCAACACCTTCCTGCCTCCCGGCTACAAAATTGAAGTCCAGACCAACGACATGGTGAATGTAACCACCCCGGGGCAGGTGCACCAAATCCCGGCCCACGGTCTCCAGCCCCAGCCGCAGCCGCAGCCGCAGCACCCGTCTCAACCTTCAGCACAATCTGCTCCCACCCCGGCGCAGCCGGCCCCACAGCCCCCACCCGCCAAGATCAGCAAGGTGAGTGCAGGTGGAAGGGGCGGGCTTTGCTTAGGAACAGGGGAAGAAGAGCGGGCCTCGAGTACGACGGCTTCCGGGCATTGGAGGGGCCTCTTGAAGGACAGGTGAGAAGGGTGGAGTTTTGAAAGGTGGAATTTCCAAAACAGCTGGAAGATTTGTGGTGGCGCAGTGATTATGCAGTTCAATCCTGGCCAGCCCAGAGTTGACTCAGCCTTCCATCCTTCCGAGGTTGGTAAAATGAGGACCCAGCTTGTTAGGGGCTGATTCTGTAAACAACTGAAGCAGTATACAAGCTTAAGTGCTATTGCTATTTTCTTTCTTTCCTTCCTTCCATTTCTCCTTCCTTCCTTCCTTCCTTTTTTTTTTTTGCTTTAATTTATATGCCGCCCTTCTCCGGAGACTCAGGGCAGCTTACAGTGCGTTAAGCAATAGCCTTCATACTTTTGTATATTTATACAAAGTCAGTTTATTGCCCCCACAATCCGGGTCCTCATTTTACCTACCTTTGAAAGGATGGAAGGCTGAGTCAACCTTGAGCCTGGTGAGATTTGAACTTGCAGTAATTGCAAGCAGCAGATGTTAATAACAGTGCTTTAGTCCACTGTACTACCTTGTACTTCCTGTACCTGTACTTCCTTCCTTGTGGCGCAATGATTAGAATGCAACATTGCACGCTGACTCTGGCCACTGGTCTTAAGTGTGAGGTTCTGTCCTAAGTCAATTCTTTTTTGTATCCTTGAAACTGAACAGATACTAAGCATCCTTGGTCATAAATCGAGGACTACCTGTAATTATAAACCCCCTCTGGCCTCAAGCCACCCTAATCCTTTTGCTCTGCTTCTTTCAGCCCTCCCAGCTACAGACCCATACGCCCACCAGCCAGCAAACTCCTCCGGTCCCTTACGCCTCCCCTCGCTCTCCGCCGGTCCAGCCCCACACGCCCGTGACAATCTCCCTGGGGACCACCCCGTCCCTCCAGAACAATCAGCCCGTGGAGTTTAACCACGCCATCAACTACGTCAACAAGATCAAGAACCGTTTTCAAGGGCAGCCGGACATTTATAAGGCTTTTTTGGAGATACTCCACACCTATCAGGTGAGCTAGCCAGCCAGCCAGCCCTTCGGAGGCTGCTTTGCTCTGAATTTGGGGACCTGAGTAGAGGAAGGATTTTGGGGCAAAGATTTTTTTTTTGTGGATGGGGGCAGTGGGACACAGGGTCATGCCTGCTGGCATTAAATCGTTGGCATTTGCCTCTCTGAGTTGGCTGGAGGAAAGGGAAACTTTTTCACTGAGTGTAAAAAACTGAAATTAATGCAGGTAGAAAATAGGGAAAGGTGAGTTGCCTCTCCAGAGTCCAATTTTTGGTGACTCCTTTGGGGCAAAGCACAAACCACCTCCAAAGTGTGTTCCCTGGGGCTCTCTGAGCTTTCTTGCAGACGTTTCATGACCCAACTAGGCAACCTCATCAGTGCTAGAAGGGAGAAGGGTTTGTGGAGAGGAAGAGGAGGAGGACTGTGGGGTCCTTGGTGCTCTCTGAGCTTGCTTGTTTTCTTGCAGATGTTTCATGACCCTAAGTAGGTAACCTCATCCGTGCTAGTCTCCCATTTGCGGGCTGCCTGAAGTGTTTGACATCCATATGTGGTACCAATAAAGGAGAATATTTGCAGCTCAGGGTTGACGTGAGGGCTCCTTGGTGCTCTCTGAGCTTGCTTGTTTTCTCGCAGACGTTTCATGACCCAAGTAGGCAACAGCATCAGTGCTAGTGAGAGAGCACCAAGGACCCTTCATTTCAACCCTGAGCTACAAATATTCTCCTTTATTGGTGCCTCCAAGCCCATCCCTTGCTACTCTTCTTCTGAAATCTCCAGCTGGGTGTCCTCAATTTTTTTTATTTTTTTTTAAGGCTCAGAGAGCAGAAATGGGGCAGCTGCTAAAAGCTGCCATTTTTTTCCCCCTCCTCCTTCTTCTTCTTGAACCTTCTCCATCTCCTCTAACAGAAAGAGCAGCGAAATGCCAAGGAAGCCGGTGGGAACTACACCCCAGCGTTGACCGAACAGGAAGTCTATGCCCAGGTGGCACGCCTCTTTAAGAACCAGGAGGACTTGCTCTCCGAATTCGGGCAGTTCTTGCCAGATGCAAATAGCTCCGTTGTGAGTGACTTCGAATTCGTCGTCTTGCATTTACTTCTGGGGGTTCGGCAAACCACCTCCAGAGTGAACCATGGGTTCATCGAACAGCTGGGACGTTTGCTTAGCCACCACTGCCGAAAAGATCGTAAAATTGGGCCGGTCAAATGGATCACCCGATTTAGTTCATCATGAGTTTTGTTTATTTTACTTTATTATTAGGGGTCCTTGGTGCTCTCTTGAGCTTGCTTGTTTTCTTGCAGGCGTTTCATGACCCAGCTAGGTAACATCATCAGTGCTGGTAGTGTTAACACTGATGATGTTACCTAGTTTGGGTCATGAAACCTCTGCAAGGAAACAAGCAAGCTCAGAGAGCACCAAGGACCCCACATGACAACCCTGAGCTACAAATATTCTCCTATTAGTATTTTATTACTTTATTATATTTGTAAAATTTATTGTCTGCTCATCTTACCAAAAGGTAACTGGATGGCTTACAGTCATAAAAGTAATGCTTTAAAACATAAATCAATTAAAACCAAAGAACATGTGAGAGGAGGGCAGGGGCGAAATGGGGGGTGGGGTGGGATCTCTCATTACTCAATCAACCACCTCCATTGCGCTGTTGCCCCACTTGGGCCCTAAGCTGACTGCCAGAACTAGGACTTTAGGCCTTACGAAAGGATAGGGGTTTGGGGCCAACCTCACAATGGGGGCAAAATGTTCCAGAGGGTGGGAGCCACAGCAGAGAAGGCCCTCCTCCTCCTGGACCCCTCCCCCCTGCCCCCCAGCCAGCCGGAATAATCAGGCTGGTGGGACCCATAGCATGCCTCCTCTGCCGGCACGAGCGGGGCAGGCCAATCCCAGTGGGGTGAGACAGTCCTTCAAGTAAGATGGACCCACAGTTACAACTGTGAAGGGCCAGCTCCTTTACAGTCTTAACTCAAGGACTACCTGCATATAAAGCCTGGGCAGAACATGATCCCACAGTCAAAAAATCATTTTTACCTTCAGGTAGCCTGTGTTCATGGCCTCTTAACTGGCTAATTCTTGCGAAGCATATTTTGTACGTTCTCATCCATAGTGGGGGGCCATAATGGGCTTATTTGTGGCTCTTCCCGATCAGCTCTTGAGCAAGACCACTGCAGAGAAAGTGGAGTCGGTGAGAAACGACCACGGAGGCACCATCAAGAAGCCCCAGCTTAACAGCAAGCAGCAGAGGCCCAATCAGAACGGCTGTCAAATCCGGAGGCACGCCACCCCGGGGGTCACCCCGCCAGTGAAGGTAAGACCCCGTTACCCCTGTCATCTCGAGGCCCGCAGTTGGTGGCAAGTACTTCCATAGAAGCCCTTAGCAAATAAAAACAATATACTCCATCCTGATTTTCTCCCAACAATAATATAGTGTTTTAATTTTAGGAACTAGTTAAGAACACCTGAGGGATCTTTAATGCTACAAAAGCCATGTTTTCTACAGCACTTTCACATTTTATCGATGTTATCGAGTTCAGAATTTCAATGGGCCAGACTGCACTATAATGAGGCTCACCAGAAACTTAATTTCTAATACTTCAGGTCTGGTCCGGCCTCTGGAAAAAGGAAAGGCAGAAAGTTGCAACCCTGAGCCAAATAGGGAACTACGGATCTCCAACAGCAGTTTCTTCTTAGTTCCATGTTCAGCCTGCCTGGAGTAATAATCGAATTTTGAATTGATTACTTAATTATTCCGTATTTCCTAAGGGAAGGGTGCAGAGAACTATACCCTCCATTGTTCGTATGTTGTGTCTGCTTCTGAGTCCCTTAAGGTTCTCCAGTTGTGGCAATTTTACGACTCCCAGAATTCCTCAGCCAGCATAGAATTCTGGGAGTTGAAGTCCACAGGTCATAAAGTTGCCAAGGTTGGAGACCCTTGCCTTCATGAACAAACGCTTGTCCTATCAAAGTAGTTATCAATACTGTGCCATTGTTCCTCTCCTATTGTTTTAACTACACAGTAGTTCAGCACCTTTAAAATGTGTTGTGGTAGATATCACTTACTTATTCTTTTGTGTGTTTGTGTGCTTCCTCCCTACAGAAGAAACCAAAGCTCCTTAATTTGAAGGACCCATCCTTCGTAGAAGCTGGCAAACACGGGACAGAGTCTCTGTTCTTTGACAAGGTAGGAGAGCTGATAAACGGTGCCCGTTGTATCCCCCAGCATTATTATTCTGCGATCATGGGCAATAGCAACAGCACGCAGGTAACCCTCGATTTACAACTTTAGCAACTGTTCCAAGTTACAAGAGGATTGGAAAAAGGGGCTTGCAACCAGACCTTGTTCCTTGCCACCGTTGCCGCATCCCCACGATTACAGGATCAAAATTGGGCTACTTGGCAACCGGCGTACATTCACCACAGTTTGCGTTCTCCCGGGGTCGCCCTTTGCCACCTTCCCAGCTGGCTTCCAACAAGCGAAGTTAATGGGAAGCTGGATTTGCTTAGCAGCCGTATGGTTCGCTTAACGATCATCATGGAGAAAGAGGTCCTAATGTTGGGCATGCCTTTACTTGACCACTGCCTTGTTTAGCAAAGGAAATTCTGGTCTCGGTTGTCGTACGTTGAGGATTATTCATAAGAGAGAAGTTGAGCTTGTAATTTATGACATTTTTCAGCTGTTCAAGGATACTACATGTATGGGATCATCTGGGGTCCAAAAGGAATTATAGTTTGGGCCCTGAGGAATTCCTCCTTGCCCTTCAGCTCCCCCTGGAATAAATATACCCATTTCCCAGCTCCACCTGCGTCATGTCTGTTGGTTGATGAGCTTAGAATTGTGCTAATGGGAGAGGATTAAATCGTTCCTTTGTAGGAGAGCCTCCTCTTCTCTTTTCCAACTTTCTCCGTCCTCCTTTTTCCTCTTCCCATCCCAACTTCCAGGTCCGCAAAGCACTGCGCAGCACGGAGGCCTACGAGAATTTCCTCCGGTGCCTCGTCATTTTCAATCAGGAGGTCATATCCCGAGCTGAGCTTGTACAGCTGGTTTCTCCCTTTCTGGGGTAAGCAGGATAAGCCACTGACCCTTTCATGCGCTCCCTTGTGGGACAGACGACATCCACTGAAGAATTGAAAATAAGCCACCTAAAGCTGCCTGGATAGTGAAATGGGACAGGGGTAAATTTAATAAATGAAATAATATGTAAATTAACAGGCAGAGACCATCATGCTTGTTTCTTCTGCCAACCAGGTCAGAGTTCAAGGAATAGAGATACTCCTGCCTCAATTATTGGCCAAGTTTAGTTGCCCGGTGGTACCAGCGTAGCAAATTTCACCGCAGAAGGTGCAGGAGGAAGGTTTTAAATAAGCAGGGGTTGCATCTTTCCCCGTATAAGATGATTAGCGGCTTATTAAAACTTTAAAACTTACTAAGAAGTGTAAAAAAATCTCTCTGCCGCAGCAGCGGGCCTAACGTAGTGTATTCCGTTTTCATTGGTTTTTGGTTTCGTCCTTTTCAGAAAATTTCCGGAGTTGTTCACTTGGTTTAAAAACTTCCTGGGTTACAAAGAATCCTCACATCTGGAAAGTTTCCCGAAGGAGCGAGCTACCGAGGGGATAGCGATGGAGATAGACTACGCTTCCTGCAAACGGCTGGGCTCCAGCTACCGAGCCTTGCCCAAAAGTTACCAGCAGCCCAAATGCACAGGTCGGACGCCATTGTGCAAGGAGGTAATAGCAATAGCACTTATATACCGCTTTATAGTGCTTTCCAGCCCTCTCTAAGTGGTAGACAGAGTCAGCACATTGCCCCCAACATTCTGGGTCCTCATTTTACCCACCTCGGAAGGACGGAAGGCTGAGTCAACCTTGAGCCTGGTGAGATTTGATCTGCCAAATTGCAGGCAGCCGGCAGTCAGCAGAAGTAGCCTGCAGTACCGCACTCTAACCACTGCACCACCACGGCTCATGGTAAGCTGGCCATCTTCCTCTCCCCCCCCCCCCCCCTGAGATGTGAATGTTGCTGAAACCTCGCCAGAGTGGCAGGGCCTCCGGGGATTCCCTCTCCCCCCACCCCCCGCCCCCAATAATTACAGGCTGTCCTCAACTTGCGACCACAATCGAGCACAAAATGTCTGTCGGTAAGTGCGACAATTGTTGAGTGGGTTTTCCTCCATTTTGCGACTTCTCTTGCCCCGTTGGTTGAAACGAATCACTGCGCTTGTGAAATTAGTAACGCCGTTGTTAAGTGAATCTGGCTTCCCCACTGATTTCGCTTGTCAGAAGGTCGCAAAAGAGGGTCAAGTGACGGCACTGCAACCGTCATAAACGTGAGTCGGTTTGCCAAGCATCCGGATTTTAATCACGTGACCATGTGGCTGCTGCAGTGTGAAAAATGGTCCCAAGTTCCTTTTTTTTCCAGTGCCGTTGTAACTTTGAACGGTCGCTAAACGGAATGTTGTAAGTTGAGCTTCCGCCTGTGTAGGTAATCCTTGGCTTATGATAGTAGTTGGGGACTGGAACTGCTGGAACTAAGCGACGCCATCCCAAAGAGCAACGTCATTGGGCCCTGCGGCTTAGCCCAGCCGTTACATCAGTCCTGGTTGTGTAGCTCAGGAAGGGCCTCCACCTGACTTCCACTTCCGATTCCCTGCCGTCTTCCCCAGTGACTTTGTAGGAAGCCGGCAGGGAATGTCAGGAATTGTGATCGCAATTCATGTGATCGCAGGACACTTCAGTGGCTGGAACCCCAAGGACCTGTTCGTAGGTCCCCCTCGTTCAGCTCCGTTGAAAGTTTGAATAGTCGCTGAACAAATGGTCATAAGCGCGAGGACCCACCTGCATGGATATTACCAATCGGCCTTTTTCGTATGCCCCGTGGGCCCCATTACTACGCCGAGTGGAACTGGTGACAGGAAGAGCCAACAGTTGTCTGAAACTTCTCGTTTCAGAAATGCTTTGAAACTTACCCCCCCAGGGAAGACGTGAAGAAAAGCAAAATTGAGCAAACCAAGAGATTTAAACATGACTAGTGGAACAGATTAAATCTCTCCGTGAACGTGAAGTTCCTTCAGTGGGGGATACCCATAACGCGAGGTCTTTAATGGGTACATTATCAAGTTGGGATGAACCTAAAAAGCCTGACCCATTATGGGATGCCCTTCATAAAATATTTCATTTTAATGTATGTACATTCAAAGTGACAAAGTTATTCTAAGTTCATAGTATTCCTGTAGTATCTCAGCATGAGTCCTTTTTCCACCCACAAGGGGGCGCCCTTGTACAGCTGACCATTCTCTTGTGACAAACTACCATATTCCTTGATTGTGATTGGACCAGCAATGTCTTCTCAGCAGTCCAATAAGCCTTTTTTTCCATAGTTGCTAGAATAATATTTTATCATGCTGGCATTAACAATCCCTTCCTTCCTTCCTTCCTTCCTTCCTTCCTTCCTTCCTTCCTTCCTTCCTTCCTTCCTTCCTTCTTTCTTTCTTTCTTTCTTTCTTTCTTTCTTTCTTTCTTTCTTTCTTCCTTTCCCCCTGCTCAGGTTTTGAATGACACCTGGGTCTCCTTCCCATCCTGGTCCGAAGATTCTACGTTTGTGAGCTCGAAGAAAACTCAGTACGAAGAGCACATCTACCGATGCGAGGATGAACGGTTTGAGGTAGGTCAAATAGGCCTTGATTTCCCCGGGACAAAATCAGGAATTTAGCTCAGATGGCAAATAAAATATCACAACTGGAAGAATTGGCATCAGGCAGCGTTTCCCAGCTACAAGCGGTCCTTGACTTAATGACCACAATTGAGCCCAACATTTCTGTTGCTAAGCGAGGCAGAGAAGGGCAGTTAATTTTGGCTGGAGAATTCTGGGAGTTGAAGTCCACAAGTCTTAAAGCTGCCACGTTTGGGGACCCCCTGGCCATAGTTGAATGAGCTGCTTCTTTTCCAGCTGGATGTGGTCTTGGAGACCAACTTAGCGACCATCCGAGTCTTGGAAACGATACAGAAGAAGCTCTCCCGCTTATCGGCGGAAGAGCAAGCCAAATTCCGTCTCGACAACACCTTGGGGGGCTCCTCCGAAGTGATCCATCGCAAAGCTCTGCAGAGGATATACGCGGACAAAGCTGCCGACATCATCGACGGCCTTCGGAAAAATCCAGCCGTCGCTGTCCCCATTGTGCTGAAAAGGTACCTGGTCCTTTGGGGAAACAAAGAGGAGCATTCAAATGGAATATAAAAAAATATGTCGAAAGGTGTCGAAAGAAAAAACGCTAGGCAAGCTTTTCTGAGGACTGGAATCATCTAGGGCACGGGTGTCAAACTTGATTTCATTGAGGGCCGCATCAGGGTTGTGTTTGACCTCGGAGGGCCGGTGGGGGGTTAGTGGCCATGGTGGGCATGACATGGGAATCATGTTGGGGGCACCTGTGGCAGCCAAGTGCTAAGGCAGGACTTCCCTAAGACCCTCCCTCACTCTCATTATAATCTTCCTTCCTTCCTTTTTTTTACTTCCCTCTTCATTCTCCTTTCTGCTTCCTTGCTCTCTTCCCATCTTCCCATCTTTTTCTTTGTCTTTCCTCTTTCCCTTTCTCCTTTCCTATCCCTTCTTGCATGCTCAAATGCAAAAGGGGAAACATTTCTCCTTTTGTTTTGTTTTTAGTTTGTTTTGGTAGTCCTCTGCCAGCGAAAACGGAGCCCGCGGAACTTAACTCCGTCAGAACTTAACTGACAAATCTCACAACTCACCTGAGAGAATTACGTTGAAGTTCTCCTTTCAAGCCCAATTCTGCTGGGATTTGATTTATCTTAGAAATAGCCATTCTGATGTAGGGAAGGGATGGGAAGAGCAGGGGGAAAAGTTAGGTAGAAGTGAACTACTCCAGTTACCCAGGAAAGGAGACCACAAGAATGTGGTGAGCACATGTTTTCATATTGCCAGAGTTTTCACCCACATCTGTCAGGAGGAATGTGATGAAATCACCAGATGTCCTAAACCAAGAGATTTCTCTCTCACATTGCCCCCTTCTTCGTCTTCCGGCCTAGGTTGAAAATGAAAGAAGAGGAATGGCGGGAAGCCCAGAGGGGATTCAACAAAGTGTGGCGGGAACAAAACGAGAAATACTATTTGAAATCCCTGGACCATCAAGGCATCAACTTTAAGCAGAACGACACCAAGGTCTTGCGATCCAAGAGTCTGCTCAGCGAGATTGAGACCATTTATGACGAGGTAACGTTGAAAAATTTCACCAAACGTTGCTTCCGCGGTAACTTTCAGAGAACAGGGTTTTGAAAACGTTGAAGAACATCGAAGAGCTGTAGGAGAAGGGTGTTCAGGTTGTCCTTTTGCTTGGGGGCAATTGAGGGAAGCAGTAGTACCTCTTGTAGAAAGAGGTTGTCCTTCAGCAGTTTACACACACACACACACACACACACACACACACACACGCACACACACACACAAAGACGGGGGAAGAGAGGGAGAGAAATAGAGAGGAGGAAGAGAGAGAAATAGACAAAGAAAGAGGGAAAGAGATAAATGGAGGACGAAGAGAGATATAAATAGATGGAAGAGAAGAAGAAAGAAATAGACAGAAAGAGATATATAAATAGACAAAGACGAGAGAAGAGAGAGAAATAGACAAAGAGGGAAAGAGATAGAGGAGGAAAGAGAGATATATAAATAGAGAGGGGGAAGAGAGGGAGAAAGAGAAATAGACAAGACAGAGAGAGAGAGAAATAGACAAAGACAAAGGGGGAAAGAGAGACAGAAATAGCGGGAAAGAAATAGACAGAGGGGAGAGAGATAAACAGACAAAGACGGGGGCGGGGGGAGAGAGAGAGACACCTTGAGGACGATTTCAGACTCTTCGTTTCCTGGGTTTTCAGAGGCAAGAACAAACCTCGGACGACAACACTGGCCCTCACCTCTCCCTGGCCTACGAGGACAAGCAGATTCTGGAGGACGCCGCCTCCCTGATCATCCACCACGTGAAGCGTCAGACGGGCATCCAGAAAGAGGACAAGTACAAAATCAAGCAGATCATGTACCACTTCATCCCGGACCTTCTCTTCGCCCAGCGAGGGGAGCTCTCCGACCTGGAGGAGGAGGAAGAGGAAGAAATGGACGTGGACGAAAACTCCGGGGCGGTGAAGAAGCACAACGGGGTGGGGGGGCAGCTCCCCCAAAGCCAAGCTGCTCTTCAGCAGCACGGTGGCTCAGAAGCTGCGCAGCCTGGACGAGGCCTACAACCTCTTCCACGTCAACAACAACTGGTACATCTTCCTGCGCCTCCACCAGATCCTGTGCCTGCGGCTGCTGCGGATATACAGCCAGGCCGAGCGGCAGATCGAGGAGGACAGCCGGGAACGGGAGTGGGAACGGGAAGTGCTGGGGGTGAAGCGAGAGAAGAGCGACAGTCCGGCCATCCAGCTGCGCTTGAAAGACCCCAGTGAGTGTGTTCTGACCCAGCTCCCCAAACACAACAAACCCTCTGTAGTTAAATCAATGATCCCTTTATTAGGAGCGCCAATCAGCCTGGCAAAAGGTTTGTCTCTTACAGCAGGCTAACAAGTCTGTCCGTCAGGGAGATGAATAGTTGTCTGCCACACCTATTCGTCTCCGCCCCCTGCCTTTTATCCCCAGAGCTAGGCTGGGGCTTCACTAGCAGCAGTGGCTCTTCCGTCCCAAGGACCAGCCCATAGATTTCCACTGCTCTCCTCTCCTCTGCCTTCTGCACATCTGCACCTCAGGCACTGGACCCAGCTGTTCCTCCTCTTCCACATCACCACCTCCAGACCTGGGGTCTGTTGACTCTCCATCTGAGGGCTGATGGACAGCCCAAGCTCCACTTCTCTCTCTCTCTCTCTCTCTCTCTGCCAGCTCCATTCCCTCTTCCCCCTTGGAGCTCTCAGGTTGCCCTGATGCTGGTCCTGACTCCCACACCTCCTCCTCCTCCTCCTCTAATTCAGCTGCTGGAGGGGCCAGCGGGCAACAGGCCACAATAGAATGTCTTTCTGAGGCTGGGCAGACGGAAGGCATTAGGGGGAGTGCAAAGTAGTCCTTGGCTTAACGACCAGGCACTTAGCACAGGGGTCCCCAATCCCCCCAGGCTGTGGAGCAGCCACTGGGCCACGGCAGGTCAAAAACCAGACCGCACAAACAAGCAAAGCCCATCTGTGGGATGCAGACAGCACATGGAACCACGTCCCCTCCGGTCCATGGGAAAAACCTCTCTACGGAACCGGTCCCTGGTGCCCCAAAGGTTGGGGGCTGCCAGCTTAGCGACAGAAGTTATGGCAGATCCCTCAATAGACACTTAACAGGACCCAGTTCTGGTGGCCGGGAGGTTGTTGTGGGGAGCGGTGGGGAAACTTGGATCCCACAGTCAACATGAGCGTATTTTTATTTATTTATTTGGCCAAGAAGTCTCCGGTGTGCTTGCAAACGCAGAATGTAATGACAGCACTAAAGCGTACAGCCGATAAAACGTGGGAAGTAAAGCATTAATAATGCTGCAGACACATCCCCTATTTATGGTTTTTGCAGGAAAACTGGCCTTTATTTCCAGTTCTTGGCAAAAACACCCAATGGCAAACAAGTGCCATAAAAAAAAGGATAGTCAAATGAGTGACCCACTTGGCAACTGTCACAGCTTACAACTAAAATGTGCAGGCAACAACACGGGCACTTCCGGCACCTCTGCTGCCCGTGAGGCCTGGCCTACCTGTAGGACTTCCCCTGCAAAGCCATTGTAATGAGTTTGTTCTGCACCTCTCTCCCCACCCCCTTCCGTTTCCTTCCCTCCCACCCACCCACCCTCAATTTCAGTGGACATCGAAGTGGAAGACTACTACCCTGCTTTCCTGGACATGGTGCGGAATCTCCTGGACGGCAACATGGACTCCTCCCAATACGAGGACTCCCTGCGTGACATGTTCACCATTCACGCCTACATTGCCTTCACCATGGACAAGCTCATCCAGAGCATTGTCAGACAGGTGATTCAGGGAGTGGGGGGGGGAGAGAGAGGGAAAGAAAGGGAGCGGAGAAGGGAGAGGGAGGAAGGAAGGAAAGGGAGAGAGGGAGGGAAAGGAAAAGAAGGAAAGAAGAGAAGAGAGGAGAGGAGAGAGGGAATGGGAGAAGGAGGAGGGAAAGAGAGGGAGGGAAAGGAAAAGAAGGAAAGAGTGGGGAGAGAGGGAATGAGGGAGGGAGAAGTGTGTGTGGATATGGTGGTTGAAAGAGAGATGGGGTGGAAAGAAATGCTGCCTGTACAAGACAACAACTTCCAAAGCAGAGGTGGCCTCAACCAGAGGTCAGATGCCTTCAGGGCTGATAGGAGGGCTTGAGGGCCTTTAAAGTGAAGCCACGCCCTCCCCAATTCCGCAACATGCAAGTTGCGGCCACTGCTGGGCTGCACCCGGTTGCTATAATGGCTAGCTTCTGGATCCAGAGCGGTGGGGCAGGAACAAAGCCGCATTCGTGGCATGGAGGAAGCATCTGCTCAGCTTCGTGCCCTGTTTTGTCCCCGGGGCAGAGGGAACAGAGGTTAGAAGTTCAGCAGCGGGAGATATTTTTGCCTAGACATGTTGCCTGCTGTCCTCGGGCGTAGCATCTGTACTGTACGGCAGAAGAAAGCGTGCACCTGGTGCTGGAGCTTCCAAAAAAAAAAGAGTCGCCTTTAACGTTCTTTCTCTTTCTTTTCCTTTTTTTTTTAAATGTTCAGCTCCAGCACATAGTGAGTGACGAAATCTGCGTGCAGGTAACCGAGCTCTACCTGTCTGAGAGCCACAACGGTGCCACGGGAGGGCTGCTGACCTCACAGTCCGCTCGCTCCCTGGTGGAAACGGCCTATCAGCGCAAAGCCGAGCAGCTGATGCAGGACGAGAACTGTTTCAAGGTAGAGCAGGGAGGGTGGCTGGGCAAGAGCCTTGCTGGCCTTTGAGGAGCCAGAAACAGGAGAGGGTTGCTTTTTAGAAGGGGAAGGGGATCCTTCTCCCTCCCAACGTGCAAAAGGTGCGTTTAATCCTCCCAAAGTCCCATTTGTCGGACCGTCCTCCGGGCGTCTCGTACGGTCTGCAAGAGAATGCTGTTGGGACCCAGGCCCAAGTAGGTATTATCAGACGCAATCAGTTTCGAAAACAGACAGACTTTGTTAGAACAGCTGAGAATTAACTCATTCTCAGTGTAGTCCAAACTAATTCAAAACAAATTCTTCATAACACAATTCTTCAGCCTTATCACCAACCTTGGTCTAATTAGGCAACCTGCCAAAGGCTTTTCTTGGCAAAAGTTCAGGAGCAGAAGATGCCGACAAGAAACGAATGCATCAAGACAAGAAACAAATCTATCAACAGTTGTTTTCTGGCAAAGAGGCCAAGAGCCTTTGCTGGTCTCTTAAGCCTTATGGGAGAGGCCAATCACCTCTTGGCCTTACTCCCGAGTCGTCCTTTTTGCTTTAGCTGCTCTTGCCTTCTGGTAGCTCTTCTCATATGTGCACTAGGAACAGGCTCCTCTTATTCCTCTGCCTTTCTGATGTCCGACTCTGGAGGCTCCAGAGTCCGCACATAACTCCCAGATGGCCCTGGCCCCATCTCTGCCTCCGACGCAGAGCCCTCATCCGGGCCTTCCCCAGACTCTAGGACTGGCCCATGGTTCTCCCCAGCCTCCTCACTGTCCGACTCCACTGCCAGCTCTGCAGGCTGCTGGCGGACCAAAACAAATGCAGCCTTTGGGGCTGAGATATCAAAAGGTTTTCCGGGCAACCTGAACTGCAATCAGAAGTTGTCTCGAGCAATTAAAAGAGTGCCAGATTTTTGTGGAAACTGGCACTCTTCATCAAAGGCAGGGGCTGGGTGGAAGGTGGGGCACTTTTGATTATTTTTCTTTTCACCGTTGGAAATACGACTACAGGTTGCTCCGAGGATTTATGACTGGCAGACACACGCTGCTCCTCCTGCTTTTGATGCACCATTTTTCCTGGAATCTTTTCAGCTTTTCCTTCCCTATAAATCATCTCCTCTTCTCTTCTGCCCCCCCCCCCCCCCCCCTCCATCTGAGCTTCCCACAAAACCGCTCATCCTCCAACTTTTCTCTTGCTTTAAGCTGACAATCTGTTCTTTGCTTTTAATCGTGGGTTATGACTTTATGCCAGAATCCCTTCAGGGCAAAATTATCGCAACTTGTCTCTTGACGGAAGCTACGTGCCAGCGATAAAAGGCAGGGGCTGCTGTGGGGCAGTCCTGACTTCTAGCTGCCTTTTCAAACCGAGCCCTTGGCTAATCTAATCTAATCTGAAGCGTTGCCCGTTTTAATAACACCCCTGTCCAAATCCAGGTTGTGATTCACCTCACTGATTTTGGGGGCCCAGTTGTCGTCGTCGTCGTTTTAAATCTGGAGGCCACTTGACCCACATTGTGAGTCTGTGTGTCTTGTTCCGTAGATGATGTTCATTCAGAGCAGAGGCCACGTTCAGTTAACCATTGAGCTGCTGGATACCGAAGAGGAGAACTCCGACGATCCTGTTGAGGCAGAGGTGAGGGTGGAAGTGTGGTCCGTTAGCAGTTTTGCCGTGTATTTGTTCCCAATCACGCAAGCGTTTTTCAAAGCGAAAAGCCTAACCCAGCTGGGATGGCCTTGGGAGTCAGTAGAAAGAGCCGCAGACTAGACACGGCCTGTCCTGTAAGAAGTATCTCAGCCCCCACCCCCACTGCCCAGACCGAAACAGGGCGTGGGAAGAGTCTCAGAAGAGATCTTCTCAAATTTTGTGGAAAGTAAAAATAAAGAAAACGCTTTCAGACTTGCAAGGTTCTGTTCTTGCAGCCTGACAATAAAGGTAGGGTTGGGATTTCGTACAGCAGAAAAGCTGTGGTTTTTTTTCCTCGCCTTTAGAAGGAGTTGACTAATCGTCTCTCGGTTCCCTTTTCAGCGTTGGACGGATTATGTGGACCGCTATGTCAACTCTGACTCCACGTCTCCTGAACTGCGGGAACAGCTGGCCCAGAAGCCGGTGTTTCTGCCCAGGTGAGGGAACACAGCCCATCCTTCACCCGTACCGAAAGCACCCGTGCGCTGCTTTGAGGGCTGCGTTGCCTCTAGCCATGGTCCACCCCGCTCTGCTGGGCTGGGAAGGGGGAAAGGGTGGAGTCCTTGGTGCTTTCTGAGCGTGAGGAAAGGCTTTCCGGAGGGGGGGGGCTGCATTCCAGAAGAGCAAGGGTAGCACAGTTTAAATTGCTTGTGTGTGAGAAAGAGGGCGAAGACAGTTCCTCCTCAAGAGTTCCCAGAGACTAGAGTTTATGGTGCAAAGGCTCTGCTTCAGCTTGGCAAGATTCCCATCTTTGGGTGATGGGATGATAAAGGAAACTGCTTAGATCAGGGCTGTCAAACTCACGGGCCGGATGCGTCACATACTGGCCACGCCCACATCCGGTTTAACAAAGGGGGAGGAGTCCCAATATGTCACGTGACCACGTGAGTTTGACCCTCCCCTGACTTAAAAGAACCTCAATGTGTCTGTCTTGGTTTTTGGAACCTGATTCCCCAAGCTTGGTAGTTTTCCTGCAGGCGTTACTCACAACTTCTGCAGTGGAACCACCAAGCTCAAGAGAGAGCACCAAAGGACCCCACAGCTCAACCCTGAGCTGTGGACCTTCTCTTCTTTCGTCCTGGGGGAGGGGGGGCAATTGCTAGCTCAGGGGCTCCATATAGCAGCTACCAGTAACGGCCTCCCAGTTTCCGGACGCCACCGTCTTCTGTGAGTCAAGACTTCCACGCTTGACCTCCTCCAGAAGAAGCAGTGAAGGCTGGGCTTTTCAGGCAGACCCTAATTCCAGCATGGGGTGGGATGGGGGTCTCTCTGCTTCTCAGGAACCTTCGGCAGATCCGCAAGTGTCAGAGGGGTCGAGAGCAGCAGGAGAAGGACAGCAAAGAGGGGCTGGGCAAGAAGCCCCTGGAGAACGTGGAGAGCTTCGACAAGCTGGAATGCAAGTTCAAGCTGAACTCCTACAAGATGGTTTACGTGATCAATTCGGAGGATTACATGTACCGGAGGACTGCTCTGCTGCGCGCTCACCAGGTCGGCCCGGAAGGGGGAAGCCCATGAGCCCCGTCCTCTTGGGGGGGGGGGAGACCACCTAGGGAGGGTGGTGGTTGGGGGCAGCTGGAGGTGGGGAAGGACCCTAGGAGATGGGACCACCCTGTGCAATAGTCAAGCCAAGCCAAGCTACACACAAGACTCAGGGTGGAGATGTCCACCTCTTTCCCTTTTGCTCTTCTTCCACCACCTTTTGGGGAGCTCCTTTTGGGAGGTTTTCCTTGGAATTTAAAATCACATTGGCTGTTTTAGGCCTCAAGCAATCACTGCCCCACGTTTTCTGTCTTAAAATGCAAGCGGGAGGGAGGGAGGGAGAGAGAGAGAGGGGATAAAAGAAGGGAAGGGAGGGAGGAAGGAGAATTTTGGGAGTTGAAGTTCAAACCCAAATCTAAAACCTTTTATAGCTGCTCCTGCTCTGTGCTGTCCCTCATCTCCTCTTCGCCTTTATTTAATGGACGATGGCTAATGTAGTTTCACAAACCAACATTGTCTCAAAATGCCACCTTTTTTTGATAATTAGCACCCCTCTCAGGTTAGCACTCAAGTCCCGTTAGATGATGATCATCAAGCACACGATCAGATTTCTGGCCCGGGGAATGTGACCCTCCCCAGTTAGGATCCGGCCCACCCCGGCTTGACCGCTTGCAGCCCCACAAGCGGAATTTTCCAGAAAGCCAAGATGGTCACTCTCCCTCCCTCCCTTCCCCGCAGTCCCACGAGCGAGTCAGCAAGAGGCTGCACCAGCGTTTCCAGGCCTGGGTGGATCGGTGGACGAAGGAGCACATCACCCGGGAGATGGCGGCCGAAACGAGCCAGTGGCTCATGGGCGAGGCCTTGGAGGGCCTCCTGCCCTGCACCACCACTCGCGAGGCCGAGGACTTGCATTTTGTGAGCATCAACAAATACCGCGTGAAATACAGCACAATCTGTAAGACGCCCTGAACGCCGGTTGCGGGGAGGGAAAAGAGGGAAAAGGAAACGTGTTTGGTTGGAGGGGAGGGGAGGAGCACCCCCCCCCCATACACACACACACACACACACCCTGCGGAGGGCAGTGCGGCGCGAGCCAAATAAGGAGGACAGATTCCTCTCCCCCGCTTCCCCTTACTCGCGCGGCTCCGTGACCCGACACTTCCCGCGACTCACTCCGACCGGAGACGTCCCGGGGCCTGTTTTCCCATCGGTCTTGTGGAACCGAAGCCGGCCCGGCACCCAGGAGCAGCGCCCACGTCGGCCCGCGGGCACGGAAGCTCCGCGAATCGCCCGAGGGGAGACGCACCTGGCCTCTACCCACCAGCAGCAGCCCTGATCCTTCGGGTGCTTTGAGTAACTCGACGAGACTCGGTGCGTGGCGTATCTCCCCCCTCCCCTTTCTCCCCCTCCCCTCCTTCCCGAAAGACGCGAGTTTTAAGTCCAGACTCTTTTAAGGAACACCAGAAGTGCGGCGTCCCTCGTCTCCACGGGCCTCGGCGGCAGACTTTTTGCAAACTTTGAGCCGCTTCCTGAGTTCTGCAGACCAACCGGGGGGGGGGGGGGGGGCAGACCCCCCCCCGGGCGTCTACGGGTCTGCCGTTTCAACTTTTCCTTCTCATCCGTTGCGCTCCTGTGACCGGGGACTCCCGACGTCCCTAAACCGATTTAAGATCAGTCTGTTCTTTCTAGTGCCAGTGGAACTACCATTTTATTTGGGTTTTATTATTATTATTATTATTATTATTATGACTATTATTATGTTTTGTACCTGCTTGTTTACTAGGCTCTTAGTGCCATGCACCAGCTGTCCACACACACACACATCCACACACACACACACACACACTCTCTCTCTCTCTCTCTCTCTCTCTCTCTCTCTCTCTCTTTCTTTCTCTCTCTCTCTCACACACACACACACAATCTTCTCAGTCACACATGCACGCTTTGACAGTAGCAACCACAACCGAATTTAAACTGGTTCTTCGCCTTCGGCTCCCATCCATCTTGCTTTCCTGGTTGGTTTTTTTTTTTTTTGTAAATAAATGTACATATTTGTCAATTTTTTTTTTAATTAAAAGAATAAGTGTGCTTAACGTGCTAGTACAACTCTTACTAGCTTTTTTTTTTTTTTTTTTTGAGTTACCGGATGGTTTCAGGGTTTTTGGTACCTTACAGGGCGAGAGCGGCGAAATCATTTTATTACACTTTCTACCAAAGGGAGTTGTCGTTGTAATGCTTTCGTGTGAAGGTTGTTTCTCTCTCTCTCTCTCTCTCTCTCTCTCTCTCTCTCTCTCTTTATTTTTATTTTTTTGTAAGAATAAACGAAACCCCCTCCCCCGCCACACAGACACACAAATAAATGAACAATAAGGAGAAGGATCTTAGTTCTTCCTGGGAAAGAGAGACAGGGCTTGCCTGGCCCCCTTCGCTCTGTTCTGAGAGGCTGCTTTTGGTAGGAGATCTATTGGATCTACTCATCAGGGAGAATCTACTTGAGCACAGGTGGGGGGTGGGTGGGGAGTGAGAACCGGGGGTGCAAGAATACACACGTACCGCAGCTCAACACATTTTTCAAGCCGCTGTTTAATAGACAAATCTACTGTCTACATCTCACTCTTGCTTTCAGTTCAGGTTTTGGGTGGGTGGCTTTGGATCCACCATCCGGGTCTTCCAGCCCAGCCAGCCTCAGACTTTGGGGGAAAGTGAGGCTGGGCTCCCTCGTTGAGGGTGACGGGGCTTTTTGTACCACTTTCTCTGCTGCTTTGGGAAAATAAAACATGGTTAAGTAACAAACCAGTATTGAACAGAGCCACATTCCTCTGCGCGGGGACAAGCCCAGAAATAGTTAAAGAAGGTGAAGTGAAGGATGGGATTTCAGCTTTGAGATGATTCCCGTGTCTTTAATATATATATATTTATATTTTCCATGTATTATGGAAGGCAGGCAGAGAAATAGGAAAGGGGTCTTCGCACGACTGTCCTGGAAGTTGTGAGCAGTCAGAGGCTTTGTGCTTTTCAAAAAGATAGGCTTCCCTGCACATGGGCTGCTGGTTTTTAGTTATACACACAAACACACCGACACTCGCAGAGAGAGAGAAAGACACACACATACACACCTAATCAGTCGGGCAGTCTCTCAGAACAGTCTCGTGATGGTCCAAGGCAACGGGACGGAAAAGAGAGAAGGCCCCTGCGGGAATTCTCTCGCACTATTGGAAAAGGGGGGCTTGGAGTTGGTAGGGCGGGGCAGGGTGGGGTGGGGGGGAAGACTCCCCAGGGAAGGAGATGGGGCACAGCAGTAGCAGCTCCTCCGAGCCAGAATCCAATAAGCAAAATCTCGAGTATGCCAGCAATAAACTTTAACCTCCCCCCACGCTCCCATCCTGGCCTTGTTAATAAGGGAGGTTGGGAAGGGGCTGCGGGGAGGGTCTCGGCAGGGCCATTGCGGAGTGCCCCACGCGGCTTGTGCGCGTCTCCCCTCTGCTCCACTCTCAGAGTCATCTCCGCCGCTTCTGCCCCCCCCCCCATTTCCTGGTGGGCTTCCAAAAACAAGAACGTCTCGCCCTGGTTTTCTTCCACGAATTTTACCCAAGATTTTCCTTGAGCGGGGCAGAAAAAAATCAGGGCAGAATCCTTGCGGTTCCCAGGTCTGGAGTGGGGGGGACGGGGGACGGGACAGAATCGCCTTCAAGCCTACCGAAACTCCAGACCCCCCCCCCTCTAGTGGGGGTTTCCCAATGTTGCTTTTCTCTCTCCCCCCCCCTCCAGTCCCCATTATCCTGGTGTCTGATATCTAAGATCCAAGGTCCAATCCTGGCCTGTGCCAACAGCAACACAAGGTGTTCCTTCTGATTTTAAAAATGGCTTTCTTATTCTGTAATGTGCTTCTTCTTTTCTCCTTCTTCTCCTTCTCTTCCTCCTCAGTCTAATCATCCTCCCCCCTTCTTCTTCTTCTTCTTCTACCCCTTACTTCTCTTCTCCTTTTTCTTCTTCTCTTTTTTCTCCTTTTTGCCACCTATTCATGTGATGATTTCTATACAGATGTTGTAAACTTGACTGTAGTGCAGTATGTCCATTAAAACTATCAGGGCTACTTGTGTTATCAATGTGGGTTGTCCTTCCTGGTCACTCCCGGTCAGCCACAAGTCTTCACTGCCGGGATCTGAAAAGCACGTAGTCAGAGCTCTTTTAATTCGGATGCGGCGCCTCTGGTGCGCGCAGGACTTTGGCGCCAGCAACGATTCCCCTCCGGTTCAAAAGCTAAGATAGTTTTACAAAGGATGATAGTTCTATGATGCTGAGAGAGAGGCTCATGTATTCTTGCAATTCGTTGACGTTGTTATAGCTATCCGTGCTAACAGGATCTGTTGTTCGCCCCCCCACCCCCTCCAAGGAGGTGGACAATGAATAGAAGGTGCCGGGCTCCAGGTTCAGAAGCACACCTAAGACAATCCCATGTCTCATAAAGCAAGCCTTCCAGTATTTGAGGGGCTGCCACAGAGAGGAGGGGGTCAAGCTATTTTCCAAAGCACCCGAAGGCCAGACAAGGAATAATGGATGGAAATTGAATAAAGAGAGATTCAACCTGGAAATAAGGAGAATTTTTCTGACAGTGAGAACAATCAACCCATGGAACAGAAGTTGCCTTCAGAAGTTGTAGAAGCTTCATCACTGGAGGCTTTCAAGAAGAGACTGGACTGCCATTGGTCAGAAATGGTGTAGGGTCTCCTGCTTGGGCAGGGGGTTGGACTAGATGACCTAAAAGGTCCCTTCCGACTCTGTTAATCTGTATTGTACTGTTGTCTCCAACCTTGGCACCTTTACGATTTGTGGACTTCAACTCCCAGCTCTACTGGCTGAGGAATTCTGGGAGTTGAAGTCCACAAATCATAAAGTCGCCAAGGCCAGAGGCCCCTGTCATTCAAAAAAAAAAAAACCCAGACCCCCAGGAAGGTAGCCCAGCCCATGAAACACGCCTCAAAACTGATTTCATTTGGTCTCGTTGGAGCTATCCAAGGTCCTGCAGCTTCTACCTGATCATTTTACTTCCCTGCCCCGTCGGAGGGATTGATTCTCCAGTGTTCCTTCCTTCCTTAGATATTTCAAACTTAAAACGGGCCACATTTTGTTTGGTACAAAGATTTTTTTCTGGCTTCCTGTCATTTTTTTTTTTTTAATAACGCTGGCATTCGCTGTATTTAAACTGTGATCGACAGCACTGCTCATAGTAAACATGAGCATGGCTGTTTGGTTGCAGACGTTTCATTCCCCGACTAGGTAACGCCTTCAGTGGCCGGGTGGGGTTGATATAGTGATCATTAGTTATGGATGATGTTACCTTGTTGGGTCCTGAAACGTCTGCAACCAACCAGCCAAGCTCAGAGAGCACCAAGCCGAGCTTGAGACCTTCTCTTCCGTTGGTGCATAGTGGTTCATTTGCAGAATGCCTTGAGATCCGTGGCTTCCCTTTGTTGTTTTATGTTCACAACCCTGGAGCCGTTGACCAATTTGGGGGATGTGCCGTAAAGGTTATTTGTATGGAGTGTGGAAAAGTTACCTAACCTGGATGGGGGCATTTGTGTTTTTAAAAGGAATTGGGTATGTCTAGTTTAATGAAGAGAAGGACTAGGGGAGACAGGATAGCAGTGTTCCGATATCTCAGGGGCTGCCCCAAAGAAGAGGGAGTCAAGCTATTCTCCAAAGCACCTGAAAGCAGGACAAGAAGCAACGGGTGGAAACTCATCAAGGAGAGAAGCAACTGAGAACTTCCTAACCATGAGAACAGTTAACGGAATAGCTTGCTTCTTAGAAGTCGTGGGTGCTCCATCACTGGAGGTTTTGAACCAGAGATCAGGCCACCATTCGTCTGAGATGATAATAGGATCTCTGGCTTGAGCAGGAGGTTGGACTAGAAGACCTCCGAGGCCCCTTCCGACTCTTGTCATTCTGTTAAAAGGGCATTTGAGAGTGCCTGTCAGTGTTTACTTCCGATTCGGAGAGGTTGAAAAGCCGGCAAAAATTCTCCTTATTTTTCTTCCTGTTCGGCTCACCAGCTGAAAGGATTTTTAATAAGGACAGAATGGACTTGCCAGCAGGGAGGGTGTGCACCGAATGTCGATAGAGTTCACCCAGTGTGAAAGCAGCCCATAAACCTCAGCGTGCTAACTCGTGTGTGTGTGTGCACCAGGCACGATGTGAATCCAAGACCAATATTGTTTTGTTTGCCTTGTGATCAGAGAGTCGGGGAGGGTTGGGGTTTCCCCCTCGCTCTGTGTTGATGTTGAATCCATTTGGAAATATTTCCAAATCCTTCTGAACATTGTTTTTTTTTTCCCCCCCTTAAATACCAGCCTGGCAATTTATTTATTTTTTCCTTTTGGGAGCATGTGAAACAGTCATACAAAATCTGGCCCAGTGTCCTTATCTCTTAATTAGGTCAGCTTCTGAATGACAAGCTTGGGATAAACACACACACACAAACGCACACATACGCCCCATAAAAGTGTCCATAAAATTAACGCGGCCTGAATGAATTCAGACTTAATTTTACAGGCCACTGCCTCGGTTTTGTGAACCTGTGCCCCACAACGGTGCCACCCAAATAAGCCACGAAGAGCTTCCCTTTTCATTAAGGATTGGGGTCGAAGGCAGATGAAGCAGCCGATTGTCCTAAGGAGGGAATGTCACACAATTTAAGGGAGCTGCCCCATCCCTTCTGCGTGAATGCTGCCTTTAAAAAACAAAAATATCATTAAAAGGAAAATATTCGCCAAGCTTTCGTTCTGTGGCCAGAACGGCCTTTGGGAACTTCCTCCGATTCAGAAAGAGTTTAATGGCGAACTGGATAGTTTCCATAAAAATTAAATTGTTGGTTAAGTGTTTTGTTTTTTTCCCCCCCATTCAAATGTCTGAAAGACACACAGGATCTGGGGGGCCGGCACTAGAGAGTTCCTGAAATAGTTTCCAGCTTGAAAATGTCTATGTGATAGAAGCAGATAATGGGGGGAAATAATTGCATCAATTAGATCGAAGGCAGGTTTTTGTCATGGTCTCTCCGATTTCCCAAAACGTGGATTCTCATCCGTGTGTTTCTCAGCCTGGAAAAGCGAAATCCTGCATTTGCACATTTGTACCTTAAGGAAATGCCATGAGACCATAGAAAACGGAGAGAAATGTTTCCTTAAGTTGCTAGTTTTCCACATTCAGGAAATTTTTGCATAAAAGTCTGTTCTGCACAGATGAACCTAAAGAGTTGTTTTTTTTTTGGAGTCCTTGGTACTCTCTGAGCTTGGTGGTTTTCCTGCGGACGTTTCATGACCCAACAAGGTAACATCATCAGTGCTGGAAGGGAGTGGGGGGTTTGATCTTTTCAAGCACTGATGATGTTACCTAGTTGGGTCATGAAACGTCTACAAAAAACCAACCAAGCGCAGAGAACACCCAGGAACCCCTCATTTCAGCCCCGAGCTACAAATATTCTCTTCCAATGATTCTTTCCAGATTAAGATCGATGTTCTCATTTGCAAAAATTAAATCTGGGGGCAGAACTGCTCCAGTCATCTGAAAAACACACGGATGTGTACGATTACAACAGGCCTGTGTTTTGCGGCTTGACCTGAAATACTCCCCAACTTGATAAGAGGCCATAATTAGGTAGTTAACTATGATTGGGGGGGGCGCGGCGGAGAACAACAACCCTGGTCTATGGGGAGTGATTTCCACTAATCTTTTTACAGCAACAAATTCCTTAAGTTAAAAAGAAAAAAAAAAGTGAGGCTTTGTGCACAGCACAGGAGCAATTGCAGCTGCTTTTGTTTTAAAAAAAAAAACAGGGAGCTAAAACAAGCAGGTAAGACACCTGTCGTAGCAAAGGTGTCAGTTTGGAGCTTCTACCTCTCCCATTGCGTCGTTTGACTTGTCTGGATGTACTTTGATAAGTAAAAGAAGCAATCGATTTGCAAAGCGTGGTGAACAAGAACCAAGGGATTTTAATCATCACTGCTTGGATTGTACAAATGTGAAGCTATATAAATACGAGTGAGCAGTGGCAGGGAAATGAAAGGGGGGGGTTTGTACCCGCAAACACACATACACACACATGCACGCATGCACACGCAAAACCTACGGGGACCTGGATTCGCCATCTAAGCCAAATGGGGGGGGGATCTCGAGATAGGGCCGGCGAGCTGGGATTTGCAACGACATGTACGATCACGCAGGAGCCAGCCCGTTAAAACAACACGCGAGGATGTTTACTCGGCAGGACTTGTGTTCACAACCACCTGCTGTTGATCCTCCGGCTTTTCCTGCAAGGGGAGGGGGGAAGGGAGGGCAGGTTGGTCTTTTTTTTCACTCTCGCGTGTAAATCCTCGTGCACACAACGTCATCGGCGCCAAAGGTCTGCAAAGAGGAGGGAAAAAAGAGAGAACCTGAAACCAGGAGAATATTTTTCTGTTAAGTTTTTTTGTAGAGAAGACCGTGCTTGGTGTGTGGGGGTTGTGTGTGCACTTTGCTGGTTTTGAGACCAAGAGGCCAACATCTCTGCAGAAGGCACCCAGTTTGGGAAGAAGCTGTTGAACCTTCGTCCTACTTGGAGACTTTCTAACGTCGTTCCTCCTAAGGTTCAAAAGTCTCTGAAGAAATGCCTCATCTGGTCTCCTAATTCTTGGAAAGACGGGAGTTCTTGCCTTGCTGGGATGTACCCAGAATTTGGAAGACCTCCAAAGCAGGTGCACAATTTTGCTGAGTTTGAACACCTTCAATTTCATCCACCGGTAGCCCTCAACTTAAGACCAGTTGGTTCAGTGGCCATTCAAAGTTGCAACGGCAACTGAAAAAAGGTGACACTCGCCAACAGTTGCAGCCTCCCCAGGGTCAAAATTCAGATACTTACCAACCGACTCCTATTTATTATGACGCTTGCAATGATCACGTGATCATCTTTTTGTGACCTCCTGACAAGCAAACTCAAAAGGAGGAAACCAGATTCCCTTAACAACCGTGTGGCTAACTGAACAGCTGCCGTGATTTGCTTAATAACCGTCACTGCAAGAAAGGCCCTAATGCGAGACAAAAAACACAACTGTCTCAATTAGCCACAGGAATTTCGGGTTCAATTTTGGTCCTTAAGTCGAGGACTACCTGTACTGCTCAGAGTTGGGTCTTGTGCTTCTTCAGAACATGCAGGATTCAAGCTAGCTTGGGCCGAAGTGATGGTTTAAAGGGGGGGGGGGAATGCTGGCATCACTCCAGATCAAAGAGAGATGCCAGATCAGAGGTCTCCAACCTCAACTCCCAGAATTCAAGTCCACAAGTCTGAAAAGTTGCCAAGGTTGGAGACACCACCACCCCCTGTGCCCGATGACTTTCAGATCTTACGTTGGAATGTTTTGACCTGTGACGCTCGGTTTGGGAGAAGGTCCCTTGGTCTGCGTTCCACTATATGACGCGTGGATCTTCGTGTATGTTTGTGTGTTGAGTGAGTGAACTAGAGAAGGGAGGAGGACAAGACCTGCTCTCGTAACTGAAAACTTTTCCTTTGGTGATAACCAATTTTGGAACTAACTCCCTTCTTCATTTCATCTTTTAATTATCTTAACTTTTGTATTGTATGTATTTTAATTTTGGCTGTTCACCGCCCTGAGTCCCTTTTGGGAGAAGGGCGGTATACAAATTAAATTAAAATAAAATAAATAAATAAATCCCGGGCCAACGGGTCTGGAGGCTTATGGAAAATCGTTAAAAATGTTCAGATGGAGGTCGAAATCTCATTGCAATTTTCTCCCAGTGGAACAGACTTTCCAGGGGTGAGGAGAGGGGAGGGGGGTGTAGGAATTAAGAGGCTGTACCCTTTCACTTCCAGTGCACCTTTAAAAAAAAAACAAGGGAGTGAATGTGAGAATTCAAGCCTTTTTAAGAATTTGGCCTTTCTATCCTGGGCTGAACGTTGTCATTCGAATTCCAAGGTTGAATATAACAGAATGGAGCTGTGAAAAGGCTGTGCTCAACCCAGTTTAAATTTAGGGGTTGGTGATGGGGTTTTTTTTTATTTTTTAGCATGCTATCCAAATATTGAGAGCAGCTCTTCTCTTGGGGAGGTGGTGGGACTTGCTCAGCCGTCCTTAAAGCTCAAAACTCTTACCAAAATCAGCTCATCTCCAGCCAGTTCTCTTGTCCAGTACGTTTTGGGACCTTGGCCATCCAGAAGCGTTTGCTTGCAATAAAGCTTGTTTTCGTTTTCCCAAGTGGCTAAACTCTGCAAGAAAAGATTTGCCCCTCGCGATGGACGGGAGGGGAGGTCAGATATTAGGACAACACCTGCAAATGAGCTTCCATCCATGCAGCAGATGCCAGGCAGAACAAAGCATCTTGCACAATTTTGTGGGCAGCTCAGAAGGGCCCAACTTCCAATTAGGGCTGGGGAAAAACTTAAGGCTGAAACTCTAGAGAGAATCAAGGAGGGGGGGGGGGTGGGAATGTCTGTGGGTCAGATCTTGGTAGTTGGGCAGATGTTTCTGCATCTGAAGTTCCAGACCTCCCAGAATTGAGGCTTATATTTTCTCCTGGAAACATCCCAGACAGACTTTTATCATTAAATTTATTTTAAAAAATGAATTTAATGCCAGATTTCATCAGACCAGATTAAGTAAACAAGCCCAGCCAGAAAGAAAAGTTTGCCCTGCTGGATTCCTTCAGCCAAAGATTTGGCTGGTGGTTCCATTTCGAGTTTGGGAAAATTGCTGCTCCAGGCATCTTAAGACAATTAAAGTTTTTTTAAAAATTGAATTGATCATTGGATCAAGCCACAACCCACATGAAATTGGGGTATAATTCTTCTGATCGTTTCCAGGAACATGACTTATTCCTCTTGTGGCTTTTTTTTTTTTTTTGCACGCCACACCTTATTTAACTCTTTTATAATGCTGTTTGCGGCTTCCCCATTCTCTCTCTTCATCTAGGACCCCCCAAAATTCCATTTAATCATGATCTCTCTCTTTAAACTGATGGACAGACAAGACGGTGATACCCCATTCTCAGTCTTATCCCTGCCCTAAGATACTAGTGTTTCTCAATTTTGACCACTTGGACGGACTTCAACTCCCAGAATTCCCCAGTCAGCTCTGGTTCAACATTCCATTTCCCCAACCACTTCCAAAAAGTGCAGCAGAAGGCCTGTTTAGCTCAACAATTGCTATTCACTGCTATATAACTTCAGAAGAAAGCCAGTTTGCACAGGCATTGAGACACTTCTCAGCTAGAAACTAGGAGCTGGTGAGTTCTAGCCCCATCTTAGGCACAAAGCCAACTGAGTGACCTTCAACCAGTGCCTTTCGCACCCTAGGAGGAGGAAGAGAGCTTCCAACCGCTTCCCAAAAATCTTGGTCAAGAAAATTCTAGGGACTTGTTCTGTCAATCATGAGGAGGTAATACTGACTCAAAGACACACGCACACACACACACAAAATGCTTAAGAATGCTGGGAGTTGAAGTCCACAAGTCTTAAAGCTGCCAAGTTTGAAGACCTCTGCATTAGACATTCGCTTGTATGTTTGCTCTCATTTGTGAACTATTCTTCACTTTGCCGGCTGCCAAGAATCAGCCGCTGAGGTTCCCCTCCATATATTTTCCCACAAACAGGAATTAGACATCCCTCAAAATCTTCCCCAAAGCCAAACCAAACTTGCATGCTTTTATAATAATAATAATAAAAAAAAGAGGTCATCATTTGCCAAACTGGGCAGTTATTTAGAAAACTGCCAACCTGAAAGGAATTTCCGAAGCGCAAACATGATAAGAGGAGCATGTTGGATGAGGCCGGAGAGGAAATCTCAAAGCCAGGCCATTTGACGGGGATGTCCAGTGTCCAAATTCCCGGGGATGCTTGATGACAGGAAAGCCACAGTGAAACCTTCCTGCCCAAAATCCTGATTCATCAGCCCGTCATGGAGAGCAAGCGGGTTGTTGTTTGTTTCTTAGAAGATCCCCAAAGGAGGAAGCGAGAAAGGTTTTGTGGCTCTGGTTTGCCACAAAAGAATAGCAAACTTTTTGCTTTTTTCAAAATTGCTTGTTCAAGAAATTAATCCCCTGGTTTGTGGCTTGCGGGGAGAGCAAAATTCACCTAGACTGACTTCCCTATTTGGGGGGGTGTATGTCTGCATCTGGGTTTAAGGTGCACAAGAAAACGTTTCTCTGCCTTTGCAGCCTCTTGGGAATCTTGCTCTATTTTACCACTGGATTATGGAGATAATCCACTGGATTTGCTACCTCCAAAGTTGAACAGGCAGCCGTCTTAGTGTCAGATACCACTCCAATGGGACGTCTGGGGCTGGACAGGGTCAACTCATCCCACCAACTCTTTTTCCCCCACCCCCATGGGTTTTTGCATGGTGTGGTGTTTCCAGCACAATTTTTTGGGGAGACATGCTGTCAAATCATCCATCTTGGCTTCAAAAAGTTCTCCTAGAAGAGGACAAATGGCCCAACCTTTTTGCGTTGTTCTCAAGAAGTTCCAAGGAACTGTTCTAGATCGGAGGACACTTTTTTAACTTTAGGATAGGGATGTCCAAACGTGGCCACTTTGAAACTTGGGGGATTTCAAACTCCCAGAATTCCTCATCCCTTGAGCAAGTCTTAAAAGTGGCCAAGGTTGGACCCCTCTGCTTTAGGAGGAGCTTCTTATCTCCAGGACATTTGTCCTCTTCTGGGAATGTTGCCCCAAAACTCAACCTTGGGAAGAAGGAGGAGGAGGAGGAGGAGGAGGAGGAGGAGGAGGAGGAGGAGGAG